TATCCGGCCAATGAATGTTGAATATTTTGCGTAAACAATTGTTCATAAAAACTTGTACCTTCCTGATGATGGCCGTAGTAGTTCTCCACGTTTAATCTCCATATAGTAGGACTGTCTTGATGTTTATATTAAAGATTCTGACCTTGAAATTGGTTGAGAGTTGTTTTGAGTTCCATATGTTCTTCAATTGTAGAAATGCTGCCCTTGCTTTGCCAATCCTCGCCTTTACATCTGCATCCGATCCTCCTTGTTTATCAACGATGCTCCTAAGGTACTTGAATGTTTCCACCTCTTCCAGAGTTTCGCCATCAAGTGTGATTGGGTTGATGTCGTCCGTGTTGCATTTGATAATCTTGCTTTTTCCTTTATGAATGTGGAGGCCTATTGATGCAGAGGCTGCTGCTAAATTTGCTGTCTTCATCTGCATTTGGTCGTGTATATGAGAGAGGAGGGCTAGGTCATCCGCGAAGTCCAAATCATCTAATTGATTCTGAGAGGTCCATTGTATTCCGTATTTCCCCTCAGATGTCGAAGTCTTCATAATCCAGTCAATCACTAGAAGGAAGAGGAATGGGAAGAGTAGACAGCCTTGTTTGTCTCCGGTCCTTACTGGAAATGCATCTGTCAGCTGTCCTCCATGCACCACTCTGCACTCTAGTCCATCGTATGAGTTCCAGATAATCTTGACAATCTTTTCAGGAACTCCATAGTGTCAAAGTAGTTTCCATAATGTTCTCCTGTCCACGCTGTCAAACGCCTTCTCATAGTCGATGAAATTGTCATATAGTGATGAGTTCCACTCAACTGATTGTTCAACGATGATCCGTAGTGTCGCAATCTGGTCTGTTCACGACCTATCCTTACGGAATCCAGCCTGATGATCCCTAAGTTCGGCGTCCACTGCGTCTTTCATCCGATTCAGCAGCACTCTGTTGAAAACTTTTTTTGGTTCTGTTAACAAACTGATGCCTCTGTATTTCTCACATTGGTTCAGATCTCCTTTCTTTGGTATCTTGATGAGATATCCTTCTTTCCAGTCCGTTGGCACTTGTTCCTCTTCCCAAATCTTCTTGAATAGAAGGTGAAGCATGTTTGCAGTTATTTCAATGTCTGACTTCAGTGCTTCTGCTGGTATATTGTCAGGTCCTGCCGCCTTCCCACTTTTGATTTGTCTGATGACCATCTTGACTTCTTCGATCGTTGGTGGAGTGACATCTATTGGAAGGTCTGTGTGGGCTGCTTCGATGTTCGGTGGATTCTATGTTGGGATCCCATAATGCTTGTGCCATTGGAGACTCCTTAATAAACACAGTGTCGAGGGTCAAATATCTTGGTGTTACTTTTTCCTCTGATCTTTCTTGGTCTTCTCATGTTTTACTATTATCGAAAAAAGTTTACCGCTTGACATACTACATAAAGAGGCTGCATGCTTTTGGGATTACTCGCCATTTACTCTTACAATTTGTAAATTCCTGCATATTACCTATTATTTTATATTGTTCTCCATTATTCTTTCCTGGGCTTTTGAGAAAAGACTTTGCTATTTTGCGTAGAATGCTGAAGGCGGTTTGCAAGGTATGTGGTGAATCTTTTGAAGTCATTGTTAATATGCTTGTGGATAGACATCATAAGTGTTGCAAACTCTTGGCAGGTGTTATCTTATCAGATACTAACCATCCGCTTCATTCATATCTTTCTCCTTGTATATCTTCTGGTAGAACGAGACGTAAATACATTAAAATCCATGCACGCAAGCAAATCTATAAACGTTCTGTAATACCTTACTTAGCAAATTTACTTTGTGACGAACAGGCTGTTAGAGTTGACCTAGTAAATAACCTGTCTTCTTAAGCATGTCTCAAATTCGATAATTTGTATAAAGTCGGTTTTTCCTAGACCTTTTTTTTTTTAAATTTTATTTCTGTTTTTTTTGTTTGTTTGTTTTTTCGGGTTTCCTTTTTTGGTAAAAAACTTGTTGAAATAACTCGTGCTGAGAATTCTATATTGTACCAGATTATAATATTGAATAAAGCCATTAATAATAATAATAATAATAATAATAATTCAATGGGGCTGGTCTATTCAGCACTTCCTCGAAGTATTCTGCCCATCTTTTCCTCTGTTCTTGAATCTCAGTGATTGTCTTTACTTCTTTGTCCTTCACTGGTCTCTCTTGTTTGTTATATCTCCCTGCCAATTTCTTCGTTGTATCATATAGTTGTTTCATATTCCCTTCTCTTGCAGCCGTCGTTGCTAGTTCTCCCATGTATTTCTGTTTGTCGGCTTTAATGCTTTTCTTCACTTGCTTGTTTGCTTCTGCGTAGTCTGCTTGTGCTTTGACTTTCTCTGCTCGTGTTCGGCTGTTGTTAATTGCTAGTTTCTTGTTCTTCCTTTCTCGAATCTTGTCCAGGGTTCCCATAGAGATCCATTCCTTGTGATGATGCTTCTTAGCACCAAGAACCTCCTGACACGTTGAAGTTAGTGCTTCTTTTATCCCTTTCCAGTTGTCCTCCAAAGTAGATTCTTGTTCTTTCAGTAGATCCTGTAGAGCTTGGAATCTGTTGTTGAGAGTTATCTTGAATTCATGGAGCTTGTCAGTATCTCGAAGGAAGGCTGTATTGAACCTTTGTAGTGCTGTTTGTCCAGTTGTCCATTGTTTCTTTAACTTCAGTCTCATCTTGGCCACAACCAGTTGCGATCTGAACTGATGTTTATCATCATCGTTGCTATCATTGGTGGGTGCATAACATTGGATAACGTTCATTGTGATCCCTTGCTTCTTTGTTCTGAATGATGCTTTGATTATCCTGGGTCCATGAGATTCCCATCCTACAAGTGCATTTCGTGCTTCTTTGGACAGCATTAGAGCAACTCCCTGAGTGTGTGGAGCGTTTTCCTCTTCGTGACCGGAGTACAGCAGCATCTCTCCTATACCTAGCCTTTGTTGTCCAGTTTGTGTCCAATGGGTTTCGCTGATTCCGAGTACTGCCAAGTTGTATCTCCTCATTTCCATTGCTATTTGGCTGGTCTTTCCTGTCTCCCACATTGTCCGGACGTTCCATGTACCTATAAAGAGTGTTGCTCTGGTTGTTAGAAGGTGCATCGGTCTCGTGACTTCCGAAGAATTTCGGCTTTCATCATGAGACGTTACAATTATTCCTTCAACTCCGAGGGCAGAGTTTAAATGGTTTGAATTATTTTTTCTGGTTAGCGTTTTTTTAGCGAGTTAGCTTTTCTACGGGATGGGGTCGCTAACCTCATGCCCAACCCTCCTCCTTTACCCGGGCTTGGGACTGGCAGTAACTCTAGAAGTGCTTCAGGCGGACTTGGAAATGTGATAGATCCCAGTAAGAAGACTTAGGATGTAACAATGCACAGAGTTATCAATAAATGTCAAAAATATTACCACTACAAACCGTAGTGACTATCGGTAAGGCAAAATAATAAGTAATTCCTACAAATACATTTCACAATGAATAACGAAAACGATAACAGTTGTTATGAAATCAATGTTGCTTGTCAGCTCTTTCTGGGATAATGATATATCCCGCGGCAATCAGCACGTCCATATATTTTTAACAGGGCTCGCACTCAATCGACATAAGAGATAACAACTAAAAATGTGTTCACTTAACAAGGGTTCTTCTGCTGTTATTGTTAATATCCCTAGGTTCTTGCCAGGAGGTATTGGTGATCCACTGCTACTAAAGTCCGAAGCCCGTTAAGCGAAAGCTTCTCCTATTCCATCCACAACCACTTGAACGTTTTAATATCGTAAGATCTTTATTTTATCATTTTAACTAATATTTCTTAAAGCTATCAATCTTCCAATGTTTCCTAACCACTTTTTTTTTTATCTAAGTCGCGCAATTTGTAAGTTAGTGCGTCACTCTGGTGAGTCTTCAGTTCTCTGTAGTAAGGATAAAATGTCTATTGGCTTATACTATTGCTTGCAATTTGTGACACTGTAAAGGTTTAATCTCGTTTTAAACATATCATCAGAAATGTTTCTGGTAGAGGGTCCCATAAATTCACTACTTGGTGCGAGAGACGCAATTCCAGACATAAACGATGCGATCTCTGTTTTTGAGTTTGGTTGGAATGTCTTCTTAAATGCTAAGTTCCAAATGGAAGGAAAAGATTAAACATTTGTATTAAGGTAATCGTTTATTGTACCATAAGCTGATATAAGACCGCCTCATAATCTTCGGTAAGATAACGGAAATAGGTTGAGGTGTGTCCGCCTGTCTTCATAAAATAGCTCAGAAGGACCATGATCTTAGTTCCTCGCCATTCGAATAGTTCGGCGAGACTAAAGAACATGGACGAGCCAATCAGAAGCTTTCGCGGGTTTTCAAGGTCACAGCGCTAAGTTCGGTACCTGACGCTTACGTACAGTCAGTTTACAAAGGATTTTAGAAAAAACATGATAATTAAGAGTCTACAAGATATGTTACCATAAGATTTTGGCGCAAAATTCAATTACATATTTGGATTGAGTTGTGGCATTATAGCTGATGTCAGTTCGTGATGAAAACCCTAAGTAAAATTCATAACCTTAACCATGAACTGTAAATCATATTTTGAATTCTTCACACGTGTGTATAACCCTCATTTAGTCTTAGTTATTACATTGACACTCTCAGATTCACTCTAGCGTCGCTCAAATGTCGTCCATTATTTATAGTCTCATCTTCAACCCTAAACCTTAACCCTAATCCTAAACCCTAAACCATACCAACATACCGACAACACTGAAACTATTAGGTCGAGGCTGAAAGAATTTTCGGGACTTTATCATGGTTCCAGATTTCGACTACTATGGAGCCACATGGATGGGTTCCTGTACCGGATGCACTATGATTTTAAAACTTCTGAACCTATATCTGACCTTGATAAGTTTTTGATACATGTAAAAGAACAGTATCCCCTTTAATTTTTGAGTTTTGTATAATATATTTTTATTGTATGCTAACTGTCTTCTGATTGGCCAATATTTCTCAAGGTCATTTAAGATTCGTTCATAGGTCGTCCATGTTCTTTAGTCTCGGGCAGCATCATTGAAGTTACGTGTAGATATAAGGTCACTCTAATTATAACACCTAGATCTTTATGGTCCATTACTAAAGATAACACAAATCTACACACTGTTTAATTATATGGATCATTGCCGTTATTTAATTGCATGAAAACTCTTGTTAGACTAAACTTCTGACGACTACCTGTCCGTCCATGCAACCAGTGAATCTAGGTCACCCTGTAATATTCTATCTGACATATTGTGCATTGATCTCACAATATTTATGTCATCTGCGAAGAGTGGAATAAATGGCTTCGCAACAGTTAGTAAGTCATTTAAATAAAGTTGATAAAAGAGGATCGGGGATTGTACTTTGGGGAACTCCACTTTTTACAGATTACCACGCCGAGAGAGTTCCATTTACAGCAGGTGCTCTCACACAAACAACTCGAAAATTCGAATATCATGCTGTTTTGTTCGAGCGTTCTTTATAAGTCGTGAAGTGAGTCCAATGTATCATGGCTTCATTCCTCTGCAAGCAAAACTCTTTAGTGCTTTTACTATTGTTATTTCTTCACAACTATTATGTCATTTTTTTGCACACATTGTAATGTTCCATTTAATGTTATAAGTGACTCTAATAAGTTTAAACAAGGTTACTTTACACTAGTCCACTCAGTTGTTATAGGGTCAACATGTGTAAAAAGAAAGAAGTATAAGAATTTGGATGGAATTTTTCCATAAACATTATTATTTCTTGTTTTGTTGCTTGGAGTTTTCATCACAGGAGAATCATTAGTTCATCCCTAAAGAGAACCGAATTTATTTATTCTTATTGTTAAGATGCACTTATTATTTCGTTTTAGCTTTTTGCACCTACAGATAACATGTCATCCGACGGCACTAAAAAACCATCTGATGATAAGAAAAAGCTACCCGAGGATATTAAAAAGTCATACTCGTCTAGGTGAGTTTTATTAAGTATCGAAAGTAATTCCCCACAAAATTGGATCATACTATTTAAGTTACATTCTACAATTATATCATGTACTCTTATCACATTTGTCCACTTTAATAATTTCTATCGTTTTATTTACGGTGTGAAAGTGGAGACACTTAGATTGATATAATAAGTTTTACATTTTCAGTCTCTATCTTCCTCCACTTTCACTCACCAAATTTTGATGTCAATCATTTAACACAAGTTCTTTATAGAATAGTTTATTCACTACTAATAACTGTATTTTTCGATATTATTCATATCTCGGGTTTAATCGACTTCATTTTGTTGTTAGGAAGACTACCGTAGTATTGCTAAATTCGGCTGCTTGATTTGGATTTTCAACACTCATACTTTACCAATGAAAATAACCACTGGATGTACACTGTTGAACTGTTCTAGTAGTTTATCCTTAATGGTGTTCTGATCTACGACAATGAATGTATCGTCGATGTAGCGGCAGTATAGATCGAGCTTCTTAATAGCCTCCTTAGGTGGGCCATTTTCTAGCTTGGCTAAGAAGAGATCAGCGAGAATCGGGCCTAGAGGTGAGCCCACGGCTACCCCGTCTATTTGTCTATAATAATTGTTGAAGACAAAATAAACATCCATCGTACATCTTAAGAGCAATTCTTTCAGACAATCTTCCGGCAAGCCAATGTTGATTTGTTTTTCTGTTATTTGCTCGCATATAAACTCAATAAGTCTCAATAAGTGGTACGTTGATAAACAAGGATACTACATCCAGTGAGAACATATTTTTCATATTAACATTCATATTTTCCACTTTGCAAGTGAAGTCAAAAATATCTTTTACACTCGTTCTAACAACTGATTTGTGCAAGGGCTCTATGATTCACACTAGCCACTTTGCAATTTTGTGGTAAGGGGAATTGTACATGTCTAGAACTGGGCGCAGAGGAAGACTTGGTTTATGAACTTTAGGCAAACCATATAGTCGTGGTGTAATAAGATCCAGTCGGTTTAATAGAATCATGAATTTCTTGTGTAATTATTCCCTTTTTCTTTAGATGCTTAAGAGAGTTTGCCAATTGGTTTTCTACTTTTTTATTGATATCGTAATGACTGGTGACTTTTTGAAATTTGTTGGGATCACTAAGGATTGTTTCCATCTTTTCAACGTAGTCTGTTTTGTTCATCAGGACTATACTTCCTCTTTTATCAGGTTTGCTTATGATCAAGGTTTCCTCATTTCTTAGTTTAGTTAGAGAGTCTCGGTGCTGCTTGGTAAGTAAACGGTTTGTAGTACTCTTACTATTCTTCTATTGTTGGCTGCTGTCAACTAGAGTGTCTTAAACCTAGCTAGGTCCTCCAATGAGGTAAGAATCAAGTCAGTTGTTTGTGAAAATAAATTCTCAAACTGTACATCAGTATCTAATTGATTGATTCTATGTCTACTATCACAGAATTTAGGCCCCAGAGATAAAGCTTCTAGCTGTATTACGTCGAGTTCGAAATGGGAAAAAATTATGTACGTACCGTTTCGGGTCGAAAGGAAATTCCTTTTCTGGTTTTTGGTTTTCCAAAGTTTTCACTAGTTATGTCATCGTCTTCTCAGATCTATTCTTGGAAATTTTTTCAACATAATCCATGAACATTAACTGAAGCTCTGACGGTAGGTTTTCAACGGAATATTGTCTATGAAGAACTTTCGTTTCCAAGTCAAAGATTTTCGTTTTTAAAGTATCAATTTGATTCGATGCATGCAACAGGGTCCCCACATGATTTTAGATTATTAGAGATTGGGAAGGGTCAAATAAAAACAATAGGCAGCATATATACATTATGACCACTATCAATTAGATGTGTCAAGACCCTGTTGCATTTAAGGTACTCAATGAGTTCCTGGAGTTCAATGCACGTCTCACAGAAGCGAGAACTAGCTTAGGATTTGCTATAAATTGTATACAATCTAACAGATATCCTAAAATATATTAGAAGTCTTTGCGTCGCAACAGAATCTATCCTAATGCAAAAACACTTGAAAGACATGCATCGAATCAAATTGATACTTTAAAAACGAAAATCTTTGACTTGGAAACGAAAGTTCTTCATAGACAATATTCCGTTGAAAACCTACCGTCAGAGCTTCAGTTAATGTTCATGGATTATGTTGAAAAAATTTCCAAGAATAGATCTGAGAAGACGATGACATAACTAGTGAAAACTTTGGAAAACCAAAAACCAGAAAAGGAATTTCCTTTCGACCCGAAACGGTACGTACATAATTTTTTCCCATTTCGAACTCGACGTAATACAGCTAGAAGCTTTATCTCTGGGGCCTAAATTCTGTGATAGTAGACATAGAATCAATCAATTAGATACTGATGTACAGTTTGAGAATTTATTTTCACAAACAACTGACTTGATTCTTACCTCATTGGAGGACCTAGCTAGGTTTAAGACACTCTAGTTGACAGCAGCCAACAATAGAAGAATAGTAAGAGTACTACAAACCGTTTACTTACCAAGCAGCACCGAGACTCTCTAACTAAACTAAGAAATGAGGAAACCTTGATCATAAGCAAACCTGATCACCTTCACGTCAGTTAGCCAATAATTAAGTACAAGTGGTCACTTATCTGATCCAATTATTATTAGACAGTGGTATTCGCTTTACTTTTCGTCATTCAATAGAATATCCATTCTTCTCCAGAGTGCTTATATACTAATCAGGTTATCTACTTCGGTGTTAGCATTAAAAAGAAAAATATGTATATTGAACATCCGTGTAGAATTATACTCATGGGTTTCAAGTTGTCAAAATAGTTTACAAAGTGACTATCTCTTGCTTATCTATCTAGCAGTTATCTTTTAATCGTCCTATATCTGACTCCATTTATATTGTGTAAATGATTGTTATTAAGATATACACATCGTCAACCCTCGTATATTATTGTCGCCTTAACTCGCGTTAGTGAATGACGGAATTAACTAAGTCAGATACGGGAATGAAGTTTGAATGCGTATATTTCATACAATCGGTGATTTAAACAAACAATCTGAGAGATGGAGCAAACGAAGCGAAAAAGAGAGAGAAGCGGGACCTCTAGACTACTGAGCCGGCATCCAGAGGTGATAATGTCTAACTTTGACCAATCCACGAAATTGCTCAACCATTTCCCATTGTCTGAGGTACATACCTGTCTCTACCTGACACACAGAAGCCTTGATCAGTGGATATAATCCGTGTCAGGTAGAGACAGGTATCTACCTGAGACAAACGAATATGGTCGCTCAACTTTGTAGATCGGTTGAAGTCAGACATTAACACCGCTGGATGCCGTCTCAGTGGTCTAGATGTTAAGGGGTTCGCGCGCGAGACCGAAGGTCCTGGATTTGAATCCTGCAAGAAGTGTCGTGGGTGCACACTTCTGAGGAGTCTTACATTTAGACGAGACGGTCATCCAGTGTTGTCAGGTTCTCAATGGTAGTTTAACATCGGTCGATTCATTATCTAAATCAAAAGCCTAAGAATCTCTACAACCCCATACTGATAACTACAATCTTAATTAGACTAAGTTAGACTACTCTTTGTCTAGCCTTAAACTTGTGGGGTCAAGATCTGACTCTAATTAGATCGTATGAATGATTATTGTCAAATTATGCATCCTGTCTATCCTCGTATGTAATACATGACTTAATCCGCGTTGGTGAATAACGGAGTTAAATAAGTCAAATACGAGAATGGATTGAGAATACATTTATTTTATACACTCATTGATCTGGACAGGAGATCAGAGGGATGAAGCGAATAGAAGAGAGCGAAGCGAAAACGACACTAATTGGAGATAGCGGGTAAGCCAACTCAATTTAATCAAGCGTCAATCAGTATTTATAGACTTGTGATAAATAGGTAAAGAAATGTACACACACAAACGCTCATACAAAAGCAGTCAGGGTTGATAAGTGAATAACTGACAAGGTCAAAACATGACTCATGATGGATAGGTAAATTGGCTTGTCCAGAAACTAGAATATGGTATATGGGCTTAACATATAAACCGACACTACAAACCGTGAGATTAAAATTACCTTATAGCTTACTTTCTAAGATGTAATTCCTTCTCCTTGTATCATATCCTTATATGCAATCATTCTTTTATATATTACTACAGTTGAATTAACCACTTCTATATGCGTTTGATGTTTATCTGGTTGTGCTAATGTGGTTTGGCAACTTGGACCGATGCATATGTGTTATTTGTCCTGCTATGTAGGTGACTGACTGACTTAATTAGACCAAATTAGAAAATTAGTTTGTTTATGGAAGTCTTGTTAGAACGGCATTTCAAATGGACCTTACTGGATATTTTGTTGCTATATTTTTGTGGAAAAGCTGTTTGTGTTGTAGAACTAGTACATCTCATGTGATTGTTTTCTTGTCTAGAGTCAATTTTATGGTTCAAGAAGCTTCTAAACTTGAAGTTTCTGGCATTTCACAATTGTACAATTGTGTTCGACAACGTATGATGGATGTTGGTTTATTAGAGGACAATCGAAATCTTAGAAATTCCATTGATGGCAAGTTTACAAATTATAAACATAACATTTTTAAAATGCAATTTTAACTTTAAAGTTGTATTTATTTCAAACTAATGTCAATCAGTTAACTCGTTTAATATACATGATCTCTAGTCAAATTTTTCTACCGCATTTTGGAATCCCTTAGTGACATGCACGTATCTTCCATTACTTACTGTACTTACGCCTGTTACTCTCAATGGAGCATAGACCGCCGACCAGCATTCTCCAACCCACTCTGTCCTGGGCCTTCCTTTCCAGTTCTATCCAGTTTTTGTTCATTCTTCTCATGTCTGTCTCCATTTCACGTCGTAATGTGTTCTTTGATCTTCCTCTTCTCGTTTGGCCTTCAGGATTTCATGTAGGGGCTTGTCTTGTCGATATCATGTATATCAATATCAAATATAGTTTGCCATATTATATAAATTATCTTGGGGTTCACGAATTCCATGTATTTATTCAATTTTCAAATTACATACTGAAAACAAACAAATTGGTTCAAAAATCAACACTCTTGTTTTAAAGCCTTAATTTCAGTAAAATAGAATAAAAAAACATGTTTAGTGCCTGGTCGTGAACATAACTACTAAGAATAAAAGATATTTGTGATTTGCTAATACTCGATCATGGTTTTTTTCAAAGCATCACTCATGTATTTTGATCCAACGAGTAAACAATGCTGATGTAAGGCATCGGGTGCTATATGAAGACAGCAGATGAATCAATTGTGTGGTGAACATTTATCAACTAATGTGATTGAGACATGTGTTACGCACCCCTAGCTACCACACACTTCAACGCTCAATGATGGCTGATGTAGAAACAGTCTGGAAGAAAGCTAGGAACGGCGAAACCAAGATGTGGCATTCATCCATTTAATGATTTACAGTTTGACTGAGTCATAGTTGTAGTGTGTTGTATGCTACTTATGCTGGCAATAATAAGTAGTATGTGCCACCAGTCATAAGTAGAATACGTGGCAACAGAAGATTGCGATGAAGAGAACAGGAAGAAAATCTGGAAGCAGTCAAGAATAGCAGAATCAGAGGAATAATGGAGTATGTAAAGGCCAACACAAAGAAGGTGTGCAAATGATGAATTTAATGCATGATTTTCATATTTTAATTAGCAACTATGTGATTTTGCGTTAAACAATAAATTGGTTTCCTCCTCCTAAGTTCTCGTTTACTTGAATAAATATGGGCTATATGGTTGGTTCCGCGTGATTATCATTACGAACGTCTTAAGATTTTGGTTAACATGGCTCGAAATCGTTTACAATAGTGCAGATCCATTCACTCTCCATATTTTTCTAGACTATGGTTTCAGAAATCTCGTTATGTCTTCACATACCTTTTCTATATTGAATCGTTTCTAGCATTACTGGTACCACAATTACTGCTACTCAGAGGTTTGTTTTGATCTCACTGTGCTAATGTGGTATTGCAGCTTCAAGTGAAGCACATATATGCCAGACCCTTTTCTGGACATGAAAGACTGACGGATCACTGAATTCCTTGACTTTCAAGCTTTTTCATCTCATTTACTTTACTAGCAGATATCGCTGCTGTTTCCACAGCAGGCTGTTCCAATATCCTGAAATAAGACGATAGTCGTACAAGTACTTCTAGACATTAAAAACACGAATTTCAGCGAAGGGATCTCTTTTCAACGAATTTATTATCAAGCTGTACAATCGTATATATATATGAAAAAGTTTTGTTAAAGTACTAATTCCGTGAGGAAATGTGAACACTAATAACCAAGATTATAATACTGGATTACGTAATATGAATAACAACAATAGATTTAGTGAATATAGTAAGACGGATAAAATGTTTTGGTTACAATAATTAAAGGTCATTAAAGGTCATAGAGGTGTAAAATAAATAAATAAATAAGGTGATGAGTATTCATGAATAAAATAATAAGAATATAAAACATAAGTAAAGGGGAATGGAGTAATAATAAAAGAATGATAATAATAATAATAATCTTAAGGCCATGGTAACGATAATGATAAAACGTACTTCTTTTGTACGCATAGTTCTGGTTTGAGCTCATGGATGGTAAGAGCTTCGGCTATTTTTAAGAGTTTGATACGAAGAAATCTTGGTAGATTTGAACGAATTATATAAACAACCTTAAAATCAGACTGTGGATTCGTCGAATGATTACAGTCGATTAAGTGTTCAAGTATAGAACTTCTAACTGATTTCCTTTCACCCTTGTAGAACCAAACTGGTATATGTTCTCGTATCCGAGTTGAAAGCGATCGTTGGCTACGGCCGATGTACCTTGCTCCACAAGAGCAGGTGAACTGGTAGATGCACATTGAGGCGACCAAACGAGGGAGCTTATCTTTTATGGACACAGAGAATAAGTTCTTACTAGTGAAGGTTATTCGTAGTTTAGCAGCGTTAAATGTCCTTTTAATCGTTGTTGTTAAACGATTTTTAATTATGTCTGATGTTCGATCACCTTTAAATTCCAGACTTATATAAAGGCTTTTCTTTGGGACTGAATAACTAAGATTCCTATCGACGCTACTTCTATTCATATTCTTCTCTATGAATCTGTCTGGGTAGCCATTTTTCATCAAGGTTTTCTTGAGGAACTCGAGTTCTTCGTTAATGCATTCAGTACTACATATCCGATGTATACGATAGCATAAAGAATGAATCAAATTTCTCTTTCTATTTAACGGAACCCAGCTATAGAAGTTGGTTAGTTGGCCGTTCCATGTTTGCTTTCTAAAGATAGATCTTTTCAAAGAACCATTACTTCTTCTCAATAGATGTACATCAAGAAAAGGGATTGATTGGTCTTTCTCTCTTTCTAATGTAAAGTCTATGGAAGGGTGGCATGAGTTAAAGGAATGTAAGATATCGTCCAAATCAATGTTATCGTCACAAACGACAAATGTGTCGTCTATGTATCTTACGTATAGTTGGAATCGATTTATCATTGAACTGAGTTGATTGTTTTCTAGTTTTGCCATGAAGCAGTCTGCTAGAATTGGACCTAATGGAGATCCCATTGCAATCCCATCTCTTTGTCGATATATTTCATTGTTGAAACTAAACTGGATATTAAAGGTACAACGTAACATTAATTCTTTTAAGAGTTCAGTTGGAATACCTAGATCTATGTTGTTAGAGTCAATATACTCACAAATATAACAAATCGTTTCCGTTAATGGTACACTAGTGAATAAAGAATTAACGTCAAGCGAGAACATGTGTTTTCCGGAAGTATTAACATCCTTAATACGATCAATAAATTGAAAAGTATCATGAATAGAATATTTAGATACTTGCCTTCTAACTGGTTCCAATTTTTCAGCTAACCACTGGGCTAATCGGCTAGACAAACCTTTCCACTTTGTGGGTAACTGAAAAGTGATAACCACCCTCATACCTCTAACAATATTCAATATCACTGTATTTATAATCAACTTCCCTCCAATTCCTACTGCTCCTCCTTCCTCGACTATCAACTCTAAACGCACTTACGGCCTCTGCCACGGAAGTCCTACTCACTAATATCTGTCGTCGGTATTTTTCCGAAATTGGGAGGACGAAATGAAAAAGACTGAAGCTTTAACAGGGTTGGTGGATATAGAGTATCCGGCATGGGAAGTTGGAAAACCATCATTTCAAACTAATGGTGCACATAGGATTCAGGATTCTGAGGAAATAAAAGGCGTATGAACCTATTCTTGGTCACCGGCCACCATGAGCCTGCATCTCTTAACGTTGCCCCCAAATGCCCTGGTACGGCCGAGAGTGAGAAGAGTCCGCTCTCCCTCTCGAAATGCTCTCACATGGCCACGTGTATATAGCCTCTGCCTGAGAAGTCCTACTCACTGCCTTGTCGTGGCACCGGTGTTCTTTACGAAATTCAGAGTACTAAAAGCGAATGTCAGGCGCTTTAACCGGGTTGGTGGACACAGAAAGTACACCTAGGAGAGTTGGAAAACCCTGATTCCAAACCAATGGTGCACATGAACTCCAGTATCGTGAGGGAACAAATGGCGTATGAATCTGTTGTTGGTCACCGGCTATCATGGGACTGCATCTCCTTACGATGCTCCACTGCCTTGTGGACTAAACCTTCATGTCAAAGGCTCGGAGTGTGGCCCCCTTAAGAAAACCACCTGCTTCAATTTGGGCACCTGGGCAGTATTACAGCCCTCACACAAATCGAATGAGTTTTGTGTGGCGCATATGTATCTGGTGCCTGTTCGTATCAATATTTACGTGTTTAAATAAATTTTAAAAAAATAAAATCTCTTAACGTTGCTCTACTGCCTTGTGGATTAGAGCTTCAGACAAAGGCCTCAGGAGTGGCCACGATAAGAAAACCACCTGCTTCGGTTTTGGCTTCCGTGTATTATTCGAGCCTTCACACAAGCCGAATGATGAAATGTGGAGCATATATGTTTGGTGCCTTCTCGTACCAGTGTTTATATGTTTGAAAAATATATGAATAATAGTAACTTCTGTAACCGAAAGAACCTTTGTTGATTATATTTGGTTTAACTGAACCACTTTCCCCAGCATATACCACTCTCGTTCGCTAATTTCTATTTATTTACGGTGTTTTTCATTGATTATGGCTTTCTTTATCTTTTCACAATCACATCTTATTGTGTGGCTTTTATATATTTTGTTGCTCATTTGTGTCAATATTTATGTTATCAAATAGGTAAATATTACTTGTCGTTGATAAATGTACCGAAAAGTACATTCTTCTATTTGAGGTCATTTAAAGAAGTCCTACTCATTAGTTTTAAAAGTGGAAGCGCGAAAATATAACTGCCGGGGTTCAGATGTGGTTGACAGGCATGGAACCTCCGCCTAGGGAAACTGGGAAACCCTTATTCTAAACGGATGGTGTGTATTTTCTTAAAGGTCCTAAGTAAAGAAGTGGAGTGTTAAGTGATTATCTAAAATCAGCCACAATGGCATGAGATTTCCTGACGTTGATAATCTGTCTTGTAGATTAGATCTTGAAGTCAATGGCTTGGCCATTGGCCTTCTAAAGTTCCATCTGTCTTGGTTGGATGATCAAGCAGTCATCCAGCCCACACACAAAATATACAAATCAATCCAATCATCCCAACTTATTATGCTGATTTGAATAGTGAAAACACTTATAATATCTATGAAAGGAATATTTTATCTATTCGTAAATTTTGATTACGGACTGTGTTATAATCCTTGTCAATCTGTGTCACTAACACATTTCTTGAAGGACCTGAAAACAAAGTTGGATTTATGTTGATCTTAGCAACCTGAGAGCGTGACAGCAGATTACAACGAACAAGTGCTTGAGGCCGGTCGCGTACGGCCTTTTTATGAGAGGTTTTTGACGTGTAAGCTACGTTCTTCAAAGAGCCTTACCACCGGAGACGGAAATTCGTGAGGTAAGGTGAGGCGTGACATTTTAAGGGTCGACCTTTTCTAACCCCTTCTTTCCTTGTGAGAAGGCAGCATCTCTGAAGATGCTTGTTGTCTGAGGAAAATACCTTACTGCTGTCACACCTCCCTACAGTCAGCAGTACAACTTCGCCCTCAGACCTTGAGATGCTGCTTTTAGACTTACCGTTCTCCAGTCGACCTGCCTGGTATAGTAGAACCTACAGGAACATATATTCCGGCCAATATAGCTCGGTTGGATCATCACAATAGGCAAGCTCGACTACCACGTCAAGGTAGCAGCTACGGTCAGGATCCCAACGTATGATGCTGATTTGAATAGTGAAAACACTTATAATAACTATAAAAGTATTATTTTATCTATTCGTAAATTTTGATTACCGACTATGTTATGATTGTTGGGGATGTCAAATCCCCAGAACTTACTTGATAAGTGGCTCAATTTTGTAATTTTATTTTGGAAATTTGAATTTAGCTGTTTTCCCGCCAAAACGTGCTCTTATTACCTTCACATCATATTTCCCACTTGTAACTATCTTAAACGCTATTGGTCCATTGTTTCTTTGTGTGTGCTAATTATTAACGATGCCCAAGGACATTTTGTTGCTGTATCAATACGCTTGACTTTTTCCCTTATTTGATTACTGTGCTTCTGGCTGCTACGGAATATAACTTCCCCGCTCCAACTTGGACTTCTTACTCTAGTTAGCTGGGTCTGGGTTGCGTCAGTATAGCTAGTTATCGGTCTCTGGTCACGTGTCTTTGTTCCGTTCGTTACTAGTGAATTCGTAACGCTTCAGATATATCAGGGACATAAATGGTTTATAAAAGAATAAATCTAGTAAGTAAAGAAATCGGTTATAATAACAAAATTATGTTGTTTGATATTTAGGGCGACATTTAAGATGAATTATGAGAGGCTCCTCGTCGTTCCGTTCGTTACTAGTGAATTCGTAACGCTTCACATATATCAATAATCCGTGTAAAGCTGGGTCACTAACACATTTCTTCTCTTGATTAATCCTAATAATAATTGTAAAAAAAAGATCTGTTTATTAAACATTCGCAGACAAGAATTTATTTACTTCAATTAATTTCTAGTTGAAATCATGAGTTAATTGAAGCTAGACCACCATGGAAAATCTGGAAACACTGGATGGTCGTTTCATTCAAGGTTTTCCATGGTGATCTAACTTCAATTGACTCATGATTTCAACTATGAAAATACTGAAATCTCCACAAAAACCCCTTCTCAATTGTAGTTGATAGATTTTATTGTTTGTATAATATTAATATGGTTAAATTGTATTTTTAAACAAAAATTAATCAGCTCCATGGTTAGATGATGAAGCTATACAATTAAAATTATGCTATCAAGAAGCTGTCTCTCTTTGGACAACATGGCCAACATCTGCTTGTGCTGAACGAATTAAATCAATTCGTCAACAATTAAATACAAAATTACTTGATTTACGTCAAAAATGGGAAGAGAAAATCAATAATTGTCGTACAATGGATAGTAGAAATGCTGAAAAAGTTTTAAAATTAAATGCAGCACAATACAAAGAATTATTATTATTTGCATGTAAGTAATCATTGATCAAATGTGTGTTTATTGTTCAATTAAGTGTGTTTATTATCCAAAAAAAAGCTGTTTACAGATCAGTTATCATCGGTTTATCAATGCAGGGACAAGTATACTGTGCAGCAGTTCGTTCTGTTCTACTTTACGGCTGTGAAACATGGCCATTAAGAGTAGAAGATATTCGTAGGTTACTAGTATTTGACCACAGATGTCTTAGAAATATTGCTCACATCTGCTAGGATCATCGGGTAAGTAATATTGAGAGTAGACATAAGGCATTAGGAAATGATGGCAAATCAGTTGGTGAGGTCATGAATCTTTATCGACTGAGATGGTCAGATCACGTGTTACGTATGCCTGAACACCGATTACCATGACGTGCTATGCTGACTAGTATCGGGAATGGTTGGAAGAGGATTAGGGGCGGTCAAACCAAAACATGGCATCAGTGCTTGAAGTCACTAACTTCTAATCTGAGCCATGTTGGTAGGTGCAGACTACTTGGTTTGGGTCCGCGTGACTATCGTAACCAATAGTTGGAGACTGTGACATGGCTCAGAATCGATCACAATGGTGTAGGTGTAAACACTCCTTATCTTCCCTTTAACCGTGAGATTAAAATTGCTTCATAACTTTCTTCCTTCCTATACTATATCCTTATATACAACCTTTCTTTTATATATTGCCACCACTAAGTTAACTAATTTTATGAATTCGGTGTTGATCTTGTTGTGCTAATGAGTGTGGTATGACAACTTGGACCGATGCATATGTGTGCGTCGTCCTACGTTGTAACTGACTGACTGGTTTGATAATATTAATTGCGGCCAATGGTCTTACTTGTTCTGTCGAGTGTTAATACATTAGTAATGTTGGTATTCAGTTAGACAATAGTAGTAAATTCGTATAAGTTTACCGTATGTTATTAATGAAAACGCATTTAATCTTACGATTATACAAATTGCGTGCTCCAGGTGTACAACTTATGTGTTGTGGGCTACTTATATCGACATAAGTAGTGTATGTCATGAATCAGGAAAAGAATATCTGACAGTAGAAGATCAAGAAGATGGAGAAGGGAAGAACGGAAAGAGAAAGCAATTAGTATGGGAATGCAGGGACAATAAAGTCTGAGACAATTAATGAACATTTTGCAAATGAAGTACTAGAGTATGGTTTTTCTATTTTACCAAGTAACTCTGTGATTTTGTACTAAATACATAATAGGTTGTCTAGACCTGTGTTCTCCTCCACTACACATACGTTTAAAATATATAATATTCAACCTGAAAAGTGTCGATTGTCTACGAAATACTCGCTAGTCAATGTTATAAATAATAATCGACTATGACTTTTATTGACCAAGGAACGAGTCTTCAGCTGTCAGCAATATCACACTAAGTCGTCTAATTTAGGCCTCTAAGCTCCGTCGGCATTGTGTGGTCCTCAAGGCACATTGGGCTAATTTTTCACTTCAAAAAATTTAAAGGTATGATAATGTTTACATAAATGTCGGCAAGATTTTGTATGTTGTAATGATCTGGTGCTGCCTGTCCCAAGCCCGGGTAAAGGAGGAGCGTTGGGCATAGGGTTAGCGACCCCATCCCGTAGAAAATCAACTCGCTTAAAAAATGCTAACCAGAAAAATGATCTGGTGTATTACTGTTTATGCCAATCAGCAGTATATATCAACTACCGTTACTATTAAAGCGTTTCGTGATGCTTTCCTTCTATCTCAGAACGCTCTACAACTCGAAAGTGAAATCCCATAGAACATTAATTTGCAGTAAAACTCTATAGTTTGTCGGCTCCGCTACCTAAAGGTCCTGAGTTAGATCTCTGGCGTATTTTAAGGTGCCCGCTATGAAAAAGTCTTGTACTAAGAATAAAGAGCTGTCTAGTACTAGCTGCTTTTCGTTGGCCATCTATTTGATATTTGCTTGTGATATAAATTATGAAACTCAATAATTTCCATGAACCCCCACCCCAATAAGCTGTCGATATATCTAGTCAGTGAATTAATAATCAAGCATTTTGTGGTCTTGACTGCATAATTTATTTATTGATGTAGTAACTTTATCTGTTCAATCTTTTTTCTTCTTGGTCCATATTAATTTTTTCTGTATAATTGGTTCATTCCAGCTGGTCACAAACAACAACACCAACAAAATAATGGTCCACCATATTGTTCAATGCCTGTTTCCTCTTCTTCAAACAAAAGATCCCATCATAATTATCATCCATATGATTTGAATCGAAATCACCATTATCATCGTCATCAACGTCATCATTATCAAGATTCATTAAATATTCCACGGACTATGATGAAACAATCTGATTGTCAACCATTTAGTTATTATATTCCAAATGATATGAATATGACACCTCAAGATAATCGACGTATTCATGGGGTAGAATATCAAAATTATTTCCATCAATCATAATACTGTTTATATATATATTAAATACCGCTGTAAATAGTTTATTCCCTATTTCATAGTTTTGTTATATATTTTTCTTCTCCTTATTACAATTATTACTTGCTTTCCGTTATGTGATTATTGCTTTATCGACAGGTAGTAATTGGGAAGACAGGCATCAGTCAGTTAGTCAGTCACAAAGTAGGACCAGGCACACATAGGCATCGGTCCAAGTTGCCATACCTCATTAGCACAACAAGATGAGCACCGAATTCATAGAAGTAGTTAATTTAGTAGTGGTAATAATTGAAAGAAAGGTTGTATCTAAGAATATAGCATATGAAGCAATTTTAATCTCAAGATTTAATGAAAGATAAAGACTGTATACACCTACACCATTGTGATCGATTCTGAGCCATGTCACACACAGTTTCCAACTATTGGTTACGATAGTCACGCGGACCCCAACCAAGTAGTCTGCATCTACCAACATGGCTCAGATTAGAAGTTAATGACTTCAAGCACTGATGCCATGTTTTGGTTTGACCGCCCCTAATCCTCTTCCAACCATTCCCGATACTAGTCAGCATAGCACGTCATGGTAATCGGTGTTCAGGCATACGTAACACGTGATCTGACCATCTCAGTCGATAAAGATTCATGACCTCACCAACTGATTTGCCATCATTTCCTAATGCCTTATGTCTACTCTCAATATTACTTACCCGATGATCCTAGCAGATGTGAGCAATATTTCTAAGACATCTGTGGTCAAATACTAGTAACCTACGAATATCTTCTACTCTTAATGGCCACGTTTCACAGGCATAAAGGAAGACAGAACGAGTTGTTGTGCAGTATACTCATAATAAGCCTCATGAAATATTACATAAAAAATAGATACTCTTAATTAATTTGGACATTATGTTGACCATACGGAAAGCGTCTTAATAGTTTTTTGGATAATCAAAAGAACATTTATCATTATTATTTTATCCCTTTCGAAATGGAAAATGTTGCTTCAGGATTGGGTTGCGTCGACACCTGAACTAATAATGACGCAGGTACATCTACTCTTTGTGTCCTCCCAGATTCTAATCTTCTGAATTTTTCATGTCACTTTCTCTTTCCAAGTTTATTTCACTGGATTAAACTCCTTCAAAAACATCTTCAAACCCTAATCTTTCAGATTACTGCTTATTCTTTTTCTATCTCTACCATTATGGGATTTGAATCAAGAAGTGTATCTCTGTATTAATGTGGTAACGGCAACTCGAACCAATATACCTCCGTACAAATTTCTACGTTATCCACCTCACCCTCCACACATTGGTTGTTTATATATCTGTAGTGTAGTCTTGGTTTACTTGTGATTCTGTCATATTTCAATTATTTGGCATTCTGGCTCCCATTTTCATCTGTCTGATATTCGGAATTATCTAATGAGTCATTAATAATAAGGAATCGTTATAATTAAAATTGAAACTATGCATCTGAATTTCGAAAATAAGATCAATTAAATTGGAATCATTTACGCAATTAATCTTCACTTTTGTCCATGTTTGATAACAACTGAGTGGTCATTCAAACCAAAAATCCTTTCCATCCAACTACTCATTTTGCAAATGACAATTCTTTTAGATGTTCGATGGTTATTCCCTCGGTAAAACTACTATTGATATTTCTGCTATACTTAAGGCAATTGTCTGACTAACAGTTACATTCGCTAGGCATTTGTTCGAAATATGAATAGCATGATAAAATATCTGAGTGTATTGTGCTTCTTAGTGATTAATTCATAATCTGTCAGTTCAAAATCCCATTTCTGAACCATGGAAGCAGACGATTAATGTAGTAGCTTAATTGGATGGTAAATAAGCTTAAACGCGTGGTCTTCAGTTACAAAATGCAAATTTAATACCACTGATAATAATACTAGTTTGAGATTTGTCTAGATAGTCTCATCGCGCTGTAGTAATATGCATATATGTGTCAGGTTCTATTTCGCTGATGGGTATCCACCTCATGAATGTGTTTTCGTTGGTAGTAAACATCAACTTTTAGTCTTTCTCATTATCATTCATAGTACATTATTTCGTTCTCTTTTGCTATTCATCTGGTTATTTTTGATCTTACCATACCAACGTTGTATGGTAATGCATGTATGTGCTAGGCTACACGTTGTCTATGACTAATTCACTGAGAATATAATCTATTGAATCAGCGCTAATTTATTAAGCATGATTACTTTAGGCATATTTTCTAGAAAAAATTTTTTTTAGATCTTATCATTAATATTCAACTATATTTTAGGGTTTGAAGAGAAGCAATTAGAAACAAGGATACTGTCGATAAACCCAATGTGATAATCATTCAGTTTAACATTAGTTTCGAATCAGTTATTGATTAGTTCCTCCAGTATGACTTTCCAATGTCCTATGGCAATTATCCGTTAAAAATCATGAATCTGAGTTATCTAAACGAGGTCACAATTCTGAAAATGCAATACATAACAATAAGATAGCACTTGTTCTAGCAGAGACGAAAGTCATATTGTTCGATCAAGTCACTTTATTGGTTTGATCGGTTCGTATAAACCGTTTGACATGATGTTAGTTTGCTTTGTTGTTCAGTCAAATTACTGAATTAACGACAAATTATTGTACGTTAACGCGCGTCCTGGATTCCACTGCTAGCCACTATCCATCTTTGCTTACCATGCTTGTGAATTGAGGCAATACGCACATATGCCAATTAGAGGTTGATCAGTTGCAGTCCGAAAAACATCAATAGGAAGATTCAAACAAACAATACTAAGTGAATTTCAACTTCACCCCATTGCACAAGCAAGTGGCTATCAGGACTCAATTTCCGAGTGAATTACGCGATGGTGTTTGAGGCGAAAGGTACTGGGTTCGAGTCCCAGAGTGAATATCAACTCTGAGATGCAGGTACATCCAGCTGACGGTTCCCAAATAGGACGAAACGCACGTCCTGGATTTCACTGCTAACCACTATCCATCTTTACTCACCATACGTCAATACTGTTATATCTTAGCGAAGATTACGTTATGTGCAATTTTTGAGAGCTATTATTGAACTAATATTATACGTATATGCTTAGTGCATGATTAGAAGTGACAACATTATATGTATATTCATATTCCTTCCATTATAAGCTTATATTTCACTTTCAAACTATTATACAGTTTACTATTTTTAAGTGATACTCAGTTTATTGATAACGGTCTCTCACCTTCACAGCCACTTTTTGACTAAATCTTGTATAAGTGTTATTTCTTATTTTATGGTGTCGTGTGGTTTGTTTGACTGGTATATAAACCAAGTATGGTCGAAATAAATGATTTGCATGGTGGAAATTACCATTGACGTTCTGGACTCAAATGGACGGGCTAGGAGAACAAAGCACTATTGAGGACGCTAGGCTCCTCATCAGCTGCCTAGTATTTCCTTGTTTCCAGTTATCAAGCTAACATCAATTTCCGTGAATAAAATTATGAAAATTCAACAATTCTTATGAATTATCTTCGCTATAATTCCTAAGATTTCGTATATCAATCTTCTTGATATCCGTTATTAAATAAATTCAAACGGTGTACACATTTCAAAAAACAATACAAAGTGTCGACTACAGTTCATTGTTGCACATCACACAGATCACCAAGCCACAAACACATAAGGCGAATTCGGGAAGAAATGCTAATGCAAATGAGCGAATAAAGAGTCGAGTGAATCAACGAGATCCAATTACACATATATTAGGAAGTGAATGGTTCGCCAAGCGATTTAAGCAACTAATATTTAAGCTAGTAAGAGGGGTGTGTGTGTGTAGGATGTGACATGTAATTAAGAGCACAGAAATAATGATAATAATATGGCAAAGATATACAAATTGTTTCTGTTCGAATGACGCTGTCTGTTGAAAGAGCTAATTGAAGGCCTTGACAAAGCTAAATGTAAATAAGACACTATACAATCTTCACAAACCTCCTGTCCTAATTATTATTTGTTGAAAGATAACAGTAAACTGAAGAATATTATCAGAAGGGTGCTGAGGAGTCCCACAATAGGACGTCCATGGCTTTCAGGTTTCCACAAGTAGTCTAGCTTCAATTGATTCATGATCTTAACTATATGAAGAGTAATTTGTTTAATTTCAATTCCGTGTACAAGAAAATAACGTTGACCATCTAAAGGCATAAACTATTAGCGTGTGTCAATATTACATCTGAACATATTTATATTAATTAGATTAGATGATAAATCACAGCAATCGCATTTGTTTTCTATCCTGTAATCAATATTGGGTTGAATTTCATTTTTTGAACTTTCATTCATTAATTTCATCTGTTCTCTTTGAATTGTAATGTAAGAAGCAATTTCCTACAGATGCAACTCTAAGCTATTCTCTAGACTGTCGAGAACAGATTCTTGGTTTGAACAAAGACAGAACAAGTAAGCTATTTGGCTAAAGGGCGGCGAATGAGTCTCTAGTCGGTACTCCGGCAACAGCGCCATTATTTGGGAGTACGGCATAGAGTAAAGTCTTCTATATAAGTAGCATCGTTTTAGAACCTTCCGGACGACAGAGCACAATCTAACGATCCAATACTCCTCACGAATACCACTTAGAGTTTAAGTAACTCCGACGTGCTTGTTAATCAAATGATGATGCATTATAATCATATCTGTGACAAGGTGATTATTAGTAAGAATAATCGGATGTTCGATTTCAGAGGATAAACACGATCATTTCAGACATCCTCCCAAGGGGTTGAGATTTCTTTTCGAATTTTGACGAATTAAATTATTTCTCCTGACCATCTCGTTCATTGTTTCCTGACCTTCCTGTTGCCTAGAAGCGTTGTCTCTGAGCGTTAACGGTTAACTATCTTGAATTCTTCTCTCAACCGGGAATGCGGTATTTGGGCTAGTTTAATTACGTCGCTCTTCGATATACCGATATCTTCAACAATTAATGTGCCTGAGATTAGACATTTCCCATTCTTCTTGTTTAAAGCATTATCGATAAACCCTCTGCAATATGGAAAAACCCTTAATAATATGAACCATGACTTACATGTTAGAAATCGATCTAGAAACTCATCGTTGCATTCTAGAGATCACAAATCTTCTGTTATTACAGTATTTCTCATGTTTAAAATTTTACCGAACATGAGATCAATTCCAATAATCTGGTTTTCATTTCCACTCTACAACTGAACAAACATAAAATATAGCACTAAGGGTTGATAAACATTTATCTCATTCTTCCCCCCCTTCCAGCCATATCGAATTTTGAAGCCTAGTAGGCCTTTCTGCAGAAGAGTGCTACATCGAAGCAGGACACAACTACCGGGGCGGGATAGCTGTTTCTGCACTGCCTACGCAGAACCATTACATAGCATTCACAACCGATTGTTTGTGTTTTTTTTTTGGGCAGACTCATTTTTTACCATTCTTTTGAACCCTCAATAGTTATGCATTGACTCTATGTAGCATTCGTAATCGTTCTGGGCTATTGGTATAGTGGTTGATTAGGCCGATCTCCACCACCCTCGATTAACCGCTCACGTTAGTCATGGAGACAGTCCCATTATCCAGGAGGCACGACGAGGACGTGTGACTCGGATTTTACCACCCTTATCTCAGATCTAGATTTGATCAAAAATGATAAATTAAAAATCGGCATATATCACGATGTTACTACACACTGAAAGTTTTCACAAGATATATATTGAATATGAAATTAATCGACGCGATAAACTAATGATGATCAAGCAAGGTTTATAGAATTTTATCTCTTCGTAATATTTTTGTCTAGTAATCCACAATGTATCTGAATACAATCTTACAGAGCTTTTTGATAAAATGTGAATACTATACATTCAATACATCATTTGCAATATATCTATCCATTGTCCCAGACTTTTTTCTGTCATTTCGATACCAATCAATCTATGTTCCTGTTCTCTTCTAATCGATATTCTCAACCTTCTGCTGCAAGGCATTCCATTTTCGATTGATGCCACATACTACTTATATATATCGACATAAGTAGCATATCACACAATATCACAAAAGTTGTTATGCAGTTTATTTGTCTTACTAAATGAGGACTTCATTCGTCTTCTTAGACGATTTTAATAACCCCAGACTGAATCTATACAACAACTTGAACAAAAAGAAAAAGGCATGAAGATTCGTGATAAGGATTTATGACATCTAGAATAAATCAAAATGATTTAATAATACATCGAATTCTATATGATTTATTTTCAGTAAGATTAATAGTCCGATTTGTATAAATCGAACTGGGTTCTATTAAACAATAACAATTCAGCAACTCACTGTATGAGCACACAATTATAGTATTGTGTAATTAAACATCTATAACACTTCCTAAGATGTGAATACACGTAGTACACGATTGAGAAAAATCAACTAATTTCATGTATCATTCGCATAACAATTGTTTAGGCTATTACTCGCCATATCAAGTGACTGTCACGAAGATGGATCTACTCCAGTTTTGATCAGTAAACAGTATATACAGAGCGGATAGCGATATGACATTTTTCGAGGTTTGGAAAAGTATAATTTAGGGCTTCAACATCTATAAGTGTCATGCTGGTTACAAGATTGATGTTCGACCAGGTATACATACGTTCGTAAGCAGTGTTTTTGATTCGATAATCTACAATTCACAGATGTTGGGTACTCCCTCATATTCAGAAATCCCCTAGGTGGTGTCAGTAATTAATGAAAACCACTTCATTAACACAAAACAATTTCCAGAAGTCCCCTCGATAAATAAATATTTTTGAAAGACATGAGATAATATATATATGGATATGTACAGGTAAATAATGACATAAATATACATCTTCATTAAGTATTCTAAATTAATGGTGACCAGATTAACTTTACTGAATACATTTCCAGCTGAAGTTGCTGGGTCAAGCACATATACACCCCTCCACTACCAGACAGCTTAAAAGTTGTACATTACGATACTTTGAACTATAATTCATATAAATCTCCCCTCCCTCGACAACTATGGGATTTGAATCGACAATTGTATCTCTGTGCTAACGTGGCTAATGGCAACTTGAACTGATGAACGTATGTAGGAAGTTCTACATTGTTCTTGCCTAACTGATCTCCCCATCCAAGCGTAATCTACTTCATCTTTAATCAACCTGGAAACAATTTGATAGAAGAGCTAAAGACACAAGTTTCTCCAAATTTAACCGTATCTGAATCATGCTTACAATAATTATGGTAATAAACAAGCTGGCTTATTGGAATTCATGTTTATAATAACTGATCATAAGGTACAGTACTAGTGGATAAATTGACAATAATTCCTTTTGAATCGTTTTATTAAGCCATCCGAACATTTAATGCAGCCTCATGTTGCAAAACCCACACTTGTTGGTCATAGATGCATGACCCCGTAAAAACAAACAACTATTTGTTGGATACTGAGGGTTTGCTACGGAGAGTCAGGAAACCCTTATCCTGAACTAATGGTACACGTGGACTCCAGGACCTTGAAAGGGTTGAATGACGTATGAATCTATTTTCGATCACCATATACTCCACAATAGTACCATATTCCCTTACCTTACCTTGTAAATCAAACTACTAACTCAAGGGGTCGAAGATTTGTTCATTAAACAAACTACCTGCTTCTGTCTGGACACCCGTGTAGTATACTGATTCACTCACAAATATCTTAATTGACAATTATGGGAGTGGTTATGTGAAATTTGACGTATGCCCTAGCCGCACGCACAATGATGTCTGATACACTCAGATGCCATAAAAAGGCTGTGCTGTTAGATTAGAAAGTTCCATCAAAGTGAGAAACGATGTCTTTTTGTCCTTTCCACCTATGCCCTGACAGATTGCAGTTCGGATGCAATCAAGGATGAATTCTATCACCAGCTAACTGTTCTTCTCCGGAAAGTGTGCTCGACAGATACTGTAGTACTAGCCGGAAACTTGAATGCCCAAGTCGGGCGTCTGGGCATAGAAGAGAGTCGTTTAGGTGGCCGATGGGGAGTTGTTGGTCGCAGGACAGATAAAGGGGACTGTCTACTGCAAGTGTGCACTGACCATAACCTGCTTCCGGCTAGCACTAACTTCTGGCACAGTCATCGCTAATGTGCAACCTGGCGTCCTCACTCTGCATCTCCAGCCTAGAATCAGATTGATCACATTACGATCAGCCACCGCTGGCGTAGAGCACCTATCATCTACGACGTTCTGTTTCGTCTTATATTTGCATTCACTTGTCATTTCATTCAGCAATCTGTCTACGGTGGTTTTTGTTTAACCTAAGCCATTTCAAATCACTGAATTTCTAATTTTTTAAAACCATTCATGATATCTAAACTGAATTTCATCAATGTAAACAACTGAAAAACCGACGACGTATGAGTTTGTTTTTGGAACGCTCTGAAATCAACATCTGCTGTATTTCTAAAACCCAGATTGGACTGAAATGCTGCAAATCCTTCGACCGATTCGAGGTTGTCCAACGGGCTCGTTCAACGGCTATTCATCCGGTTCGGTTTATATTGGGTTAAGCGCCAGGGCTGAGGCGGTACTAATCAACTGGATCCTTATTGATAGTCACTCAAATGATATTGTACTACAAAGTCCTTTTAATCAGAAACTGAGAAGGGGAACCATGTTTTACCACTCAACATGACAGATGATGTCGGAATAACGATGGGTAATTTACTACGGGAAAAGATTCATTTCCAATAAAAGATGAATATTTCCTGGAGTTCCACACGGGAAAACATCGACCTAGTTTTCATGTGAAACTACTACAGTTGAACAATTAATAAATCAAAATCACGAATAGGATAATGTCGATTTTTCTCACTCCAATTTTTTAAATGTGGAAATGCAAAATGAATAAAATTTCATGTTTATATTTCATTGAACGGACAATGTCTTCATAAAATGACAAAACAATTATTTTTTCGGAAAACAAAGTGAAGAATTATAACACAAGAAGGAAACGCCAGCAAAAAAACGACGAGGTTTTATGCCATATACAATGCATTAGTATGTATGTGTATGAATATTGAATCAAATGATATAAGACACAATGTCAACGTCGTGACCGATAACGATTTGATGAGGAACGATCTCTACGGTCAGTAGATCGAGAACGATGTCTTTGGTTAAATGAACGTGAACGACGTCGACCGCTGTCACGAGAATATGAAATGGAATCCGTCTTGTCTTTGACACGAGGTCCTTCTGGAAAACTACTCTTAAAGTTACTTCGATGGTTTGGAGAGCTACGACGATTGCTGGACGAACGTCTACGGTGATCCGAACGATGATGTTGTGTCCCCGTATGGTTCTTTTTATAAGCTGCCAATGCTTCACCTACGACAGATGAATCACCAGATGATGTTAAGCTCGGTCGACTCTGTTTTGAAGGAATCGCTTCTTTATCATCGCTATCTGTTTTTGAGTAACGGCGTTTTCGTGTATGTGTAGTTGGAGACTAAATAATGAAAAATAATGTAAATTTTAAGATGAGCTAGTAAATCTTTTAATAGCATTCACAACTATGTAATGAAAATAGAATTAATAATCAGTAAATATCAGCGACATTTATATATCATGTCTTCTTTTTTGTCACTGCCTAAATGAAAACCTGAAAGCTTAGAAAGTCCTGGTATAATATTTATGGATAAGCTTTCAAGTTAGAAGTGTGCAATAAGCGTGCGAAGACCAGCGTCCAAAAACAAGTCGACCTACATTCCGGCAGGTGGTTACTACGACACAAATCGGATATGATTTGTGTGGCGCATATGTATCTGGTTCTTCCTTGGTATGTTATTTTATGGCGTTTGACAAGGACATTTTTGTATTGCATATATCACACATAAGTTCAGTGCTTGTTATTATCTAGTCCGGTATGTTTAACTGCTGACTCTGGTCTTCTTCCTTTAGTTAGCATGGCTAGGGCACAGATGAATAGCTTAGCTTCGACTTATTATTGGGTTGTTAATTTACGCTCTTCTAGCTGATGGCGTAATGTCTTAAACATAGCAGAATCAAAATAACACGAATAATTTTGCCCAAACTTAAAATAGCAGTGATAAATAACACGTATGCTATTGTAAACCAAGAAAAAATGGTGATATTTTATCTTTAAAATGTTTGAAATCAATGAAGTGAATTTTAGATGGTCTTTAAGCTAAGTTACGTAACATACTTGTTTCTCGGGCAGATTGTGAGTCACAATCATTTAAGCTATTACGTAAACAAGTGTTCAGTGAAGTAACATGTTCTCCCTATCTTACTTTCACTTTGAATCTCAACTCGACGTTTTTCAAGTTTATAAACTGGAAGATGGTAAGGCATTGCATACATAACCCTAACCTTTTTGCAATATAACTGATGTCAGTTGGTGTCGATAAACTCAATGTCACCTCACCTACACTTAATTATGTTTACGTTTAGTTTTGTCAAGGCCTTCAATTAGTTCTTTTGACAGACAGTGTCATTCCAACAGAAACCATCTGTATATCTTTGCATTATTATTATTATTATTAATATTATCTCGGTGTTCTTAATTACATGTTGCATCCTCATCATTCGCTTCCTTAAACATATGTACTGACTATATGTGCTGACTAGAGACTCATTCGCCGCCCTTTAGCCAAATAGCTTACTTGTTCTGTCTTTGTTCAAACCAAGAATCTGTTCTCGACAGTCTAGAGAATAGCTTAGAGTTGCATCTGTAGGAAATTGCTTCTTACATTACAATTCAAAGAGAACAGATGAAATTAATGAATGAAAGTTCAAAAAATGAAATTCAACCCAATATTGATTACAGGATAGAAAACAAATGCGATTGCTGTGATTTATCATCTAATCTAATTAATATAAATATGTTCAGATGTAATATTGACACACGCTAATAGTTTATGCCTTTAGATGGTCAACGTTATTTTCTTGTACACGGAATTGAAATTAAACAAATTACTCTTCATATAGTTAAGATCATGAATCAATTGAAGCTAGACTACTTGTGGAAACCTGAAAGCCATGGACGTCCTATTGTGGGACTCCTCAGCACCCTTCTGATAATATTCTTCAGTTTACTGTTATCTTTCAACAAATAATAATTAGGACAGGAGGTTTGTGAAGATTGTATAGTGTCTTATTTACATTTAGCTTTGTCAAGGCCTTCAATTAGCTCTTTCAACAGACAGCGTCATTCGAACAGAAACAATTTGTATATCTTTGCCATATTATTATCATTATTTCTGTGCTCTTAATTACATGTCACATCCTACACACACACACCCCTCTTACTAGCTTAAATATTAGTTGCTTAAATCGCTTGGCGAACCATTCACTTCCTAATATATGTGTAATTGGATCTCGTTGATTCACTCGACTCTTTATTCGCTCATTTGCATGAGCATTTCTTCCCGAATTCGCCTTATGTGTTTGTGGCTTGGTGATCTGTGTGATGTGCAACAATGAACTGTAGTCGACACTTTGTATTGTTTTTTGAAATGTGTACACCGTTTGAATTTATTTAATAACGGATATCAAGAAGATTGATATACGAAGCCTTAAGAATTATTTTGAAAATAATCCATCACAACTTTATGCGGTGATAAACCTGCCTATTTTATCTACCAGACGGGACAATTTGAATTGTAAGGGTTATTATGATCAAAGCTGTTATGCAATTGTTATTCCATTACTATGTACTGTTAATTGTTTTACAACTAGACAGTGCCTCCCGACTAACTGATAAGTCACCCAAGTTCGTCAGATTATAAAACTTTAGCCTAAGTTCTAATCAGGACATATATATGTACCTAGTAGTGTGTATAAACCAATAGACATGCACCATGTGACTTTCGAGGCACGGTTTGAGAGATCAATTACAGTTCAAAGATAACACTGATAGTATCAACAAGTAAACTCACCAATTCTTTTTTGCGACTACTATCAGATGGCTTATCACTTTTCAACAAAGTAGTATTGTTAGATGAAGTATCTGGTTTCGACGACCGACCATGTTGTTTATTGTCGTCTGCTATGATGTCACGACTCTCACCTTTTGGATCTCTGATAGATTTCGGTTTAGATTCAGTGGTTGAACCTTTACTGTCGCACAATACATTACTTGATACTGGTTTTTTTGTCGAATTATGTCTGACATTGTCACTACTCGATTTAGAGGTAGAGAACGACTTTGCATCCGGAATTTTTGGTTTAGAGCTACGATCTGTGGTTGGATTTCTGCGAGATTGACTGGGAATACGACCAGGAGGATAGGGAGGAGGAGAAGTCGAAGAGGAGGAAGAATTAGCAAATGGACTACGGGTTGTTTTTTGTACTGCCTCTTCTGACTGATGTGAGGAATGTCGACTTGTGATCTTTTTGGCATCTGGTTTATCAGCAACTGATTTTTTCATTCGTCGATTAACCTAATCAATTTTCAAAGCAAAAAAACGAAACGATGAAATGAAATAACTTGATATTTTTAATGAGCGTTAAATAATCATTGTTAATATGATACCAGTGAAAACATAAGCAGTGGCACGATGAAACATCATTTATAATCGAAGCAGACAAAATGATAAAGTGTGTTGCTAATGTTGAAACGATTAGACGAAAGTATGAGCGATTTAAAAGTCCAAGGAAGCATATGGAGTTATAAACTAAATCGTCAAAACTGGGGATATAGCTATTGGTCGAATGCATCAAAACATTTTGTTGCAAATGAAGTGCCTTGGGCCGACGAAAACAACACCTTGTCCCGATTTGGAAAACTAGACAGTAAAATACCTTTCTTAACCTAATTTTAGCTACTCGAAAGCACAACTTTCTAAGGATGTTTGGCATTCATAGAACAAAAGAAGAATAATTCAAGCAAACTGTGGATGTATATCGAAGGGTTATAACAGAGAACCCGAGAAATAGAGAGAGCATTCGATCAATAGTAAAAATATCTACAACAGAGATTCCAAAACAAGCGATAGTTCTTGTAGAGGATGATGGTGTGAAACAAACGGAAATTATAAAATAAAAAATAAAATAAAATGGTATATTGTTTTACATGAATCTAACAACTTTAACAGTAAACACTTGATGTTATTATGAACTGGGTTTTTCTCGCATCCCCTACTTATCGTTTATGAACACGATAACTATATCCTGATTAGTGTACCTGATTTTGAGGACTACGTTTATCATCTATCTCTCCTAAGCAAAAATATCTGGAACTGTGTTCGTACATGTCGAGGTAGCGTTGAAGGTTAAAACGAATAAATTATGAAAGAATAGCTAAACGGTTGTTATATGATTTTACAGTGTAATGATTCAGTTCTTACATGTTCTTCTAGCACAACTCATTTCAAAGGTAACATGAATAATACAATACAGAATTAGAGAGACTTTATTTACCTGTTCCGATGTTAAAGGAAGCCAATAGACAGAAGGAGTGGCGATTGTCTTACGAAATAAATTGTTCAACAATTTTGCAGGTTCTTCGCTTTTAGCTAAATTGAATCGAAATAAGAATAATAAATACTCATAGACAAAAAAGTGATATGTCCACAAATAGTCAATTATCATAGTACCATTCAAAGATGGAGTGTCAAATTTTGCTGACAGACGAAAATACCAGTCGAACGCGAAATGAAACCTGACGACACATGTGCAAATCGGTTCAAGTTGCGAAACCATATTGGCGCAATTCGATGAAATTGTTGAGGCAAATACCTAAGGTAGTAGTAGTACTTATGGTAGCAGAAAAGGTAAGGCTTAGGAGATATTGTTGGACGAGGAAACACAGGTTAAGACTAAAAAACAAGGCAATTCAAGGACTCATGATCGAAAGGGAAACAAAAGGCAAACGCATCAGGACCATTGTGAATCATTTTGATCCATGTTACCCGAAGTCTTTAGTCAGTGATTTTCACGCGGACCCCACTCAGATAATCTACATCTACCAAATTGATTTGAACAAAGTTTATGGCCTTATGGACTGATCCCACGTCTCAATTTGGCTGACCCTGACTTTCTCTAAACGCAAAACGTGTTCTAACTACCTTGAGCGATGAAAACTTGTTATCTCGTGATGCGACTCGTTACCTAAAGCCTAGTTTTAGAATTGCTAACTTCAATGTCTCAACATTCAAGTTACACACAAATACAACTTATTCACTGTTTAAAAGAGGTGTATTTTTAGAATGAAAATACCTGCACTTTTGTATGCAGGTTAGACAATTTTATGTACGTCACACCATACAAAGTAACGTAGTTTGAACATGAAAAATTTGAAAATAGTTGACTAATTCAACAGGTAGTTAGGTACGGGACAAACTGTAAGTGTAAAGGCTAGTGGTACTATCTGGTTACACAAACCGGTGAAGCAGTATTATCGGTTAAAAGTCGAACGCTCTAACCGCTTCAAACCAACAAACTCAGCTTAGACATGAGATACGAGAGCTGAGTGGTCAGAATCAATTATAGCTTCAACGAAACTGTTTCAATGTTGCCTCTGTTCCATTAATTTCAGTCATAGTCAACACAACATAGTGAATTAAATTGTTCGATAAGTGCGGAGTATGAACGACAGAAATTTCAGCAGCTTGACTACTATCCCAATATATCACACTTTCCAGTCCATTTTAGATGGTAATGAATATAGTCTAGCAGTCAATAGTTAAACCAGCTTTTCGAAAAATTTTATAATTCTTTATAAGGATTGCCTGAATTACGAACTTTGACACGATAAAAATCTCAATGCTTATTTAAATCGACACAAACTCACTGGTCGCTTACGTACATACATAACTTATGGCGTAATTCGTACAGCTAAAACGGTATAAAATTTATATTTTGACTGAAGGAGTATTTAACCCAACAGTGACACGACTTATTATCAAGCAAAAGTATCATCCTAATGTTTTTTTCACCATGCGAAAATTGATGATGATAAACAGGAAAGTAAAATCAAACAAGTATGACACAAAACTAGATTAGGTCAAATACTTACGTTTCGCTTCAGTTATTGGACACTCTTTATTTTCACCTTGTCGAGATTTAGTAACTAAAAGAGGCTGTTCTATATCTCGATTGCTTCGTTCTAATTTTCGTCTTAAATCAGTTGGCTTTTTATCTTGGTCTGTGGATGTCGTAAAACCATTATCTAAAAACAGATAGAACGAAACATTTATTAGTAGACTGAACAATATACATTAAGAAAATAGTTCATATTGACGGAGAAGGAGAATGAGAAAAATTTCACATACTCGAAACTAATACGAACTTTTCCATAATTGAAATCATGAGTCATGAGTCTAGTGCCATAGCAATTAACCGATAGACCACTGAACCGGCATTCAACGGTGTTAATGTCTAACTTCAACCAATCCAGGACTGTTAGGTCCTGGGTTCGAATCTCTCGAGTGCGGGATCATGGATGCGCACTGCTGAGGAGCCCCATAATAGGACAAAACGGCTGTCCAGTGCTTCCAGGTTTTCCATGGTGGTCTAGCTTTAATTGACTCATGATTTCAACTATGAAAAATACTGAAATATCCACAAAACCTTTTTTGATATTACAAACTTGATAAATCAGTCATTTTATAGTCGACTATAGAACTTTAATCCGATTTATGATACCAAACACTAGAGAATAATTATATTGTTTTATTAAAAAGGATCATGTTTATTAGGGATTACTGTTGGGCCACGACACTTGCGAATTCAGGATCAATTAAGCTATTTTCATACTAATGGTTTTACTACGAACTCAGTAACGCCAACTAAACACAACAGTTCAACAATAGGCTGTCAACTCAACAAGAAAAATAATGCCAAAAACAATTGATATTCTGAGACAATCCAGAAGGGTACTTCAAGCATTCAGAAAATTAGTGAACTGAAAGAGGTAACTAATATGAAAAGGGAAAAGGTCACGTGAAAATTGAATTCGAAAAGAGTAGTCATGGTTAGTGTTTGCAGTTAGACTTTAGTATTCTTAACAAAATTGAGTTTTAGCGAACAAGAAAATCAAAAAGCACGAAAAGCAAAGATTCAAGATAATAATAACAACTATAACTGTAATGATGATCGGAACACGAAACACAATTTCACAAAAAGTCGAATAAAAAAACGAAGAAAACATGGGGTGTATGAGATGTTGTAACCGTTCTGGGACCGCATCATTTAACAACCAATTATAACATATAAGATATACGAAACAATGAGCAATGAAGTTTAACGTTACGTTTATGCTAACAAAACAATGAAATTTATCGAGAAAGTACAAACATAGTTTGGATTATAAGCAAAGATGGATAATGGCTAGCATTAGAATCCAGGACGCGCGTTTCGTCCTATTTGGGACTCGTCAGCTAGATGTACCTGCATCTCAGAGTTGATGTTCATTCTGCCAAAAAGAGACTGATCAATTGCAGTCCTAAATAACAATGGGAAGATACAGGTAAACAATACCGAATGAATATAGTTTGGATTGATTTTTTTAAAATCCAACTAGAATAAGGCAAGCACGATGTTAGCGGTCACCAATTCAAACTTTTAGATCGTACGTGCCATTGAATGGGACGCCATGGAACTCGCATTCTGGATGGTAGATTTACGAGGACACATTTTCCTGTATATTATCTTACGTTAGAGTGGAAAATAATTTTTTTGTCTTATTAGTTTGGGGTTGGGTAATAGTTATTGAGAGCGTAGAACAAGTTCTGTTGAAAAGTAACTGCGTTGGATTTACCATTGCATTGATATTCGATTTGCGCAGCTAGAATTTGAGGGTGATAATAGTAACTTATCTGTTAATCAGAGCTTTGAGATACACAGGATAGGGTTAGTGGTATTATCCGATTGTCCGAATCGAAACAAGTGAAACAGTGTGAAAACCTTACTCTAAATGTAGACTATGAACAATTTCATCACCATAGAAACTTTAGAACCCCAAAACAATCTATAATTTAGGTTTTAGAATTATGTGTTGATTCAAAACTAAACAACTTCCATATTTAATATAACTATAGTTCATTGTTAGGTGTTTGCAAATGGAATTGAGAGAAAAAATGAATCAATTATAAAATTCGAAAAGTACATACCCGATTTATCAGCTTTCACTACGGAAGTATCTGTATTTGATGAAAAAGCATCACCAAGTAACAAATGCTTCGGTGGTTGAAGATCACCAGAATCTCCGTTGACTTTCATCCATTCAAATAAATCTGTACTTGCGTAGTCGCAGCGTAGCACACGTGGGTTCATTGATGGCCAACGACTGCCATCTAGTCCGTCACGACATCTGCATGGAATAAAGTATGTCAATATTTAGACGTTTTAATTATTAAATATTAGATACTGTGACAATAAGAGCTTCCATGATAAATATATGGTGAGATCGGTTTCATAAATAAACTACACTGATAACTAAGGTGCAGCAATAACTCTAAGAAAATCCATATCACATTTGACAGTTGGTCAAATTTCATTTAAAACTTTAATTAAGAGAATCAATCCTAACAGGATCAAGAAGTATTTCCATTGCATGATGATGTAAAATCTCAAATGTTTACGTCAGAAAACATGATATCCAAACATACGATAGGGAGCATCATACTCAGATCATTTTATTATAATTATTTTCAAGATGGATAAGAGAAATATAACTGAAAAACGATGACAGTTTATCTTGAAAAGCGGCTTCTGCATGCTGGACAAGAAATCAGAAGTACTGAGAATTTCAATTCATTCGAGTAGTAAGATTATAGTAACACTCAAAAAATTAACCATATATAAACTTCAATTATACAGTACTAGAAGTAGTAGTAGACATACAAGTATTACATGGTTTATGGATAAACGGTTCACAGTGTATATAAAGTATGTTAATCAGGAAACTTTATTTACTTTGCAGCATATTCAACTGTTTGCAGGCGTATAAGTGAAGATGATTTGATTTTATCTAGCCATAGATCAACAACTGGACCGAAATGAGTTACAACCATTTGACGCAATTGTTCAGCAGTGAATGGTCGTACAAGAAAGTGAATATAAACAATATCTGTTTGTGGATGCTTAGCAGGTTGCATGGGCTCAATACGCTCTGGTGGTTCGACCAAATAACCTACAGCCTTTGTTTCTAATTTTTTTTAAAAAAGAAATTATGCAGAAACAGAAATTGAAATTTAATTTTACAGTCAATAGAAGAGTAACAATAATTTTAGTAACCTCAAAATTATACTTCAGTTTCTAACTAGTCAACACCAATTGATGAACTGGAAAGACTTTAAAATATTACTGCGTAAAATTTACATATACACTAACATTTTGCTACCTAACTTACTGTTTTGTTCCGTAATATGTGTTTACGTTATGTTCAAGTCCTATTTTGATCTTCGAACCAGTCGAATGAAGCAACATGCTTGAGAATACTAAGCAGTAAAAGAATACTGTACCGAATAAGTAGACTTAATAGATGGATTTGGAATTTAGATTGACAAAATGAATATATATGATGTGTGCTGATTTTCCAGGGAATTACTCTTTTTTAACCTTCGACTTGCACAATATTTACCAAGTAAAGCAATTACGAGGGAATTACTTGAAAGGAAAAGAGAGTGAGTGTTGACAATACTACCGTGGTTGAAAGTCGCACGTCTTACCCACTAAGCTACCGATGTGTTCATAAATTTCTTAGAAAACCTTGATATAATTATTTCTATAGGGCAGTTCAATCTATGTAAACATTACTAAAACTTGAAGATAAATTCGATTGAAAGTCAGTCAGTCCAGAGCTATGTAAAACCTAATCCGTGTTAACACCGAATCATTTTACCATACCTCATTAGTATAGAGAGGTGATTGTCAGGAAGAATCCCAGAGTGGTACAGGTGATAATAGCATTAGTGATAATAGAAAGGATTAAATATCGATACATGAAAATATCTGGTTGAAGTCGGGAAATAACAGATATGAAAAGGGTGAACAACAACTTGAAAGGATTGCTCAAAACAGATTTGGATTGAGAGTGTTAGTGAGTGGCATATGCTCCTCCACGAAGAGTAACAGACGTAAGTAAATATCTGAAAATATAAATCAGTAAAATAAGAAAATGATCAAGAATTTAGTAGCTTAAAATTTTGGGGAAGACAAAGAGTGGATACACCCAGACAGCTTCAAACGATTTTGAGTCATGTTACCCAAAGTATTTAACCACTGGTTACAATAATCAGGTTACCCCCAACCAGACAGTTTACACTTGTTAACATAGCTCAGTTCGATTGTTAATAACTTCATGAATTGATGCTATGCTTTTGGTTAAGCCGCCCCTAGCTTTCTTCCAGTTTCTACACTATACAGGAACAACTTAGAAAGGAAAAAGCCATCATTAGTCATGTTTAATCTCATTCAAAATAATACGGAGTAGCCACAATACAAGTTGAGAATAAAACGAGAAATTAAAAGAAAAATTTAGAGGATTATACATTAAGTAAATTGAATATATACATTAATTTAATTACCTTTAGGACCTTTACGTTTAGGCGGTGGTGATTTTTTTGTTAGATTTGATGATGAATTAGATTGCAGTCCTTCTCCTATTTTTGTTGTCATTTGATTAGTAGACTGTGTAATAGTAGAATTATTAACATTTATACTTGTAGTTATAGCAGCAATAGTTATTGTTGTTGATGGTGTCATATTAGTAGTTGTTGTTGTAGTAGAATTAGTGTTAACCACACATCCACGCTTGATAATCACATCTAATTTTGGGCTTATATCAGATGATGTTAAATGAACAGTACGAGAATCATATGCAATTGAAACTTCTTCAATAGAGTTATTATTATCATCATAAGTATCCATATTTTCTACAACTGCATCCACTTCTAATTCAGGCTCACGCTCAAGATGCAAACGATCACTATCATTATTATTATTATCATTATTACTATTGTTGGAACTATCTTCTTCATTAATATTATGATTATTTTTATGATCAGTAAATAATTTATTTTTTATTTTATGATCAAATTCATTATTTTCCTCCTTCGTATTATCATCATCATTAAACGATTCACACTTTTCATTTAAATCATCAATATGGCTGGCGGTGTCCGGAAAAGACACAGGTGATGTGCGTGAAACTTCATCATTGCCATTATCTATCACAGTATTTTTATTTCTTATCCAACATGAAGATGGTATGAGCTTCTAGGAAAAAAACGATAACAACAACAATGAAAATAAGAAACTTGTTTTAGAGTCAAGTCAATTATGAGGGAAATTGATTTCCACAGTACAAAGTCTCACAATAGAGATGGTTTATAGAACTATAAATATGTATAAATTTATTATAATAAAACATGGATTACTTAAGCTCTCGAATGCATAAAGCTTATGGAGATGAATTTATGGCTCCGAATGAACTCAACGAAAGCCTGAAAGGACCGAAGACATTCCATCCAATTATCTTTCGGAAGAACATTCCGGAATTTCGATGTGTAGCTTCCCGATTTCATAGATGCTAAAAACGACTGCATGCGGATTGGACGACTGTAATGATGATTTAGTTTTTACTAAAAACTATAAGTACCTGAGTGTTTTGTACTATATTTTGACACTTCGGAATAAGAGTCCTTCCAGCTTGTCTTCTGCCTTCTTACTAGCGACTTGGAGGGTTTTAGCATTTGAGTGCTTAATTTGTGCGCGGTATAGCAAAAATGACACTACTATTAGACGTAAGTAGATTGTTATTCTAGAAAGATTTTCTATTCTCAACGCCATACAAAAATTGAAAACATGTTATACACCTCATTACTTAGAAATCGGTTATTATGAAAGCATGGCTTTGTCGGTGGGCTAGCAGTTGAGGCAATTGCACACCGGTAGGTCGCTGGTTGGAATCCTGTTCTATTTAAGTCGTTTTTAGCAGCCAGTTAAATTACTATTTTTCACATTCCGAAAGTTTGGCTCAAAGCCGAATACAAAAAAAGTGATTTAATTTACATTTTAACTGATATGCAACGTCTCCTATCATCGAAACTTGAATGTTATTTTTGTTCAAATATTTTTATTACGTTGAAGACTTCGTGTAATTCAGAAATCTCCAGAGCCAAAGTGAGATGTTATGGTTTATAAATAGTCACAAAGGTTTTGGAGAGTCATGTGGCTGTCTATGCTGCACAGAAATTCATTGTTCATTATTTTATGGGTGTTTATGAATTCAATACAATTAATGTCAACTAAATTGTGAAAGCTTGCCAGTTAAACTGTTCAGCTAAATGGAGTTTATGTCCAGAACTAAAGTGGTTAATAGCATTGTGTTTTTAAACACCGCCGATTGAGTTTGAGCTTGACGTTTCCAGTTGATGAGACCTGGACTCACACTAGAAAACATGATTGTTACCCACAGTCACTAATATTTTCGCACCATTTATTACTGTTCAGTGTGGTCTACTCTCATTTCCTAATTGGCTAATTTTATTCCCAACTCATGTATTAACTGTTTACTTTTCAAAAGGATAGAGTAGGAAGGGTTGATTCTAACTGTTATGACTATAGTTCTGCTCAGGCAGGGTTACAGAAATTGTAAGAATGGAAATTTGTAGGTTAAAAGACTCTGCAAACGATACCATCAGAAGTATGAATTTTGAAGATGAATGACGAACAGAAGCTGAAAACATTTAATTGCTGCGTCTTTGAAAGATTTCTAGCTTATGACAGAACTACTACGGTATGTAGTGTTGTTTAAGTGCTAAGTACTACGTGAAGCCCACAAATTATTGTATGAAGTTGCGAACACCTTTTTGACTGTAGCTTTCGACGTATGTTGCACTGGTGCACCAATTAAGAACACAAGTGAAGTAAGCTGACCATCATTGACTAACTGTCGCTAATTTATGTCAGGATTTAGCTAATATATAACTATTACGTTTCCTGAAGACTGATCAACAACTGAAGTCTTATTTAGTTCATATTTAAGGTTTTCTTAGACCTAAAGTAATACTTGTGTTAGCCTTTTTTTAAGAAAATACACACTACCAGCTTTTTTAGGGAACAAGAGTCAAAAACTTACCTCTAACGATTCTGAAGACAATGATGGAGTGCTCGTGGTTGAGCGGGACCCCCACTGTCTTCTACGTATTGGTTGTGTTTCCATTTTTGTTTTAGTATCAGTCGTAATCGAAACAGGTGGGTCTGAAACCTGTGTATCTTCTATAACCTCGAAATTAGAGACTTCGGCCGACATTTCTGAGTTGCTAGGATCTATGAATAACGATGAATAATTGGTACCAGTTCGAATAAAAATATAATAATGTAAGGAGATTCAAGTTAGAGTAAAATTAATCAATCGTGCAAAAAGTACACATTCTAATTATGTTAAGCCTGAGAGTAGTAAGCTAAGCTGTGGTGATATACTACATAGACCCTAAAAATAACATGATATTGGTTCGTTAAAACTGAGTTAGGAGCCTAAAATAATTGTACTCTACATAGAGATGAACAAAGAGCATTATATATATATATATATATATACTTTATAAACTAACACAATAATAGCACTCCACTTCGACAAATGAAGGGACACCTGTCATAACTTAATGGGATTCATATTTTAATAGGACGCAAATATACAATTCATAATATACTTGACATTTGCAAGTATACTTACCTGGTTTAGATTCGGAGGATACAGATGGCGACTTACAAAGACTTTCAGACTTCTAAAATCCAAATAATTTAAATGTAACAAAACAAATACATAAGGTCACATTACTCAACTTTAGTAATATATTAAAGAGTTGGAAAACAATAAAACACATTTCGAATAAATATCAAGAAACAACAATCCCTGATGGTTATATTATTTCACACTTGCTGACAGACAGACAGTCAGAGTGTTAAAGAAACACTTTCTATGGATCAAGACACAACTCATTCAATCACGCTATTGTTAATTAGTATTAACAATAAACTTAATGCATAATAGCACAACAGAATGAATCAATCATACTAGCAACGCTACATAAAAACCAGCACCACACAACAGGATTTCATCATGGACAATTATTAGTTAAATACCCCCTATCGCATGAGCAACAACAACAACGGGAGTAAACAAAGTAAACACATTAAATAAATCTTTTTTAAGAAAAATACAATTAACGTAATACGAAAAAAAATTAACCTGAAACTTTTTGTTTCTACATATACTTGACAGATCACGTAGAGTACACATCACTATACGCGGTTCTTCTGTGAATTATACCATCGAATATCGAGATGTATAAAAATAAGTTGTTCCGTATTATCATGTCCATAGGTCTTTCATCACATAATTGTCAATTTTTTGGTAACAGAGAATGAGTAATGTTTTGAAGTGTCATTTACTTAATTGTCACTTGAAAATATTTATCAAATGAAGCCAAGAAGATCAATAAGTGGGCTGGTAACAATAACAATAGGAACAGGAAAAGTGATTTGCAGAACAAGTTATCATGTGGAATGTCTTTCAAAAAGAAGTTATTGTCAAAATTAAGAAATATTACAATCAGGGTATGGTGGATTGTTGAATTTTGAAAGTGGTACAATACTGAAAGAAGGAATGAATGATTTTTTTAAAGTAACCAGATTAATAAACGACACTAATAGAATAAGAGATGGAACACTACAGATTTTTAGAAAATAAGACAACAAATAAAGTTTGAAATAGAAACAAGCATCTTAGTTTATGTGAGATTGAATCATTAACGTTTTGCAATTGTGATTGTACAAAAAACGAAAACTGACATATTGAGTGAAAAAGGACAGTATGTCAAGTAAGAAACATGAAAAATACAATCGATTTTGTTTGATAAAGACATTTTAGACAACAGTTTGGTTTTAAAGATACTAAATATTTATGTTGTTAAAATATCTTTTTATTTCAGCATAGGTTAGTGAAAAAAACAGAGCTTGCGTAACAACTGTCAATAGTTTCTAAATATGAAGTTTTTCTCAACACAATCCATATACAACACGACCAGCATAGTAAGAAGGGTTACAGATTTGAATTTCGAAAAGTATAACCATCGTTATAATCAAAGGCCATATATCATTGGATTATAAGTTGCCCCAATTGACTGATTAGGTGATATCAGTAAGCGTGCTGTCTAACAAACGCGTAGTCAGAATGCGACCATCTCATGTGTGAACGACTAGCGAGTATAAACAGGAACAAGGAGTACATTTAGGCAAGTACAAAAAAGGTAAAACAAACACCAGTGACGAAGGTTTAAGAAGGAAGGTTTTCGGTAAGTTATAAACATATTCAACAACAAAAAATATTAATAAAATGACATATAATTGGATAAATCCACTATCAATGCTACAAATGATCTAAAATCTATAAACATCTATACACTATCATACTACAACTGATGTTTCCTACGCTACTAAGAACATATTATATCAAGTATCAAATACTAACAGTTAAACTTACATCTATTTCAATGCTGAAAACGAAATGAAATGACTCGGTAGAATTAATATGAACAAAGTGAAATGTATAAAGTGGTTATACTGTAACAATGTACGGTTTTTCGGTCTTATTCATATGTTCAGTATAATAAGACCTTGAAACTAAGTTTGCTGGAAAAAAAATTATGAACTGCTTTGAAAAAAGTACTTAAGTTCAGTGAAGATATCGCTTACACGATGCTGTTAATTTAATTAAGTTCTTTTAAGCAGGACCGCGATAATGTGCATCGGACAAGTTCCCATACATCAGCAGAGATAAATCAAAAGGATAAGTATTATTATTTAAACAGTAACAGTGATACGAGTGAAAATGCAACAAAATAGGATTTCTTTGGTTATAGGAGCTTCTCTAACTTATATAAAGTAAAAATAAACCGCAGCAGGACTGCCTTTGGTTGGGCTCCAATGGACTACTTTAGTCTATACCAAAACCCAAGGTTGTTACGTGACTCCATGATTTGGTTAAAATCCACACAATACTTGTAACAAAAAGTTGAAGGGGTTGGGTTACATGTATCGATTTTCAGCTAAATATAGTACTTAAATTTCTAATCCTTGATTGCAACTGATCTTTTGAGGCTGTAACTATTGTGTTAAGATTTTCAGAGCTTTTGGTACCGCTTTCTGTTTAGTCTTACTGTGATTTTTTTCGTAGTGATTTGAGGTGGCAACTAAAGTGTTAAACAATCATTCTCGACCTAGCATTGACAACTGATTAGGAGCTTCAACTAATTATTGAAAAACTGAATAATACAAAATTGAGGCATTCATGTATTCTTACTTGACTTCGGATACATCAGCAGATGTAGATACTTCGGTAACTTCCTCGTCCGATGCGACTGCGTCAATTTCTAAAGCATCTTCATTCTGTGCATTATTAGTACCACCAACAGGGTCTTCTGATTTTACAGACATAGCAACACACCCAGACTCCTGAAATGGATGAAAATGAGTGGTGATTTAGAATAACCTGAATGTTATTCAAGTCAAAAAACACCTTTCACACTAAAAAGAACGTTTCATTTACGACAAATGTAATTTTGGACACTCACGTTGAGATCAACACACTCCGTGGGAAAGATGTTCTTAAATTACAGACGTTGAGTTTTTAGTTGAATCATGAAATTAAGTTAAATCCATTGGATTACCGATTCGAATTATCATTCAAATAGCAATTTAACGGTGAAAATCGCTATTACTGTTGTTATTGCTCCAATTAAGGTTTGCGAATTTCCAATCCATTTTTACGTAATTGATACTGTTGTTAGCAAACGTTTTTGAACGGAGTTTATTCTTAGTCTTAATTTTGTTCTAACCCATGTAAATAATAATTACAATACTTCCCAGCAGTAATTTAATTAAGTCTGAGCCATTTAATAGATAGTGAACTACCGGTCATTAGTTGGTATGTATAGACTTATCACGCCCTCTACTAAAACACAAAATTGCAAACCGTTTGTTCGAAGCAGATGAGTTCTAGGACAGAATCCTGGTGACTCTAAGTCTGTAAGAAAATTTTGAGCCAGTAGCTGAGTGAGGCTGTTGTGAACTGTAACCGAAAGCCCCTAAATGTCCTGGTACGTCCGAAAGTAGGGAGAGTCTGCTCTCCAAATGCTCTCACATGGCCACGGGTTTATAGCCTCTACCACGGAAGTCCTACTCACTGCCTTCTCACAGTGGCATTACTGTTGTTTACGAAATTGATAGGACGAAAAGCGAATGTCAGGCGCTTTAACCGGGTTGGTGGACACGGAAAGTACACCTAGGGGAGTTGGAAAACCCTCATTCCAAACCAATGTTGCACATGAGCTACAGCGTCCTGAGGGAACAAATGATGTATGAATCAATCGTCGGTCACCGACTACCATGGAACTGCATCTCATCACGACGCTTGACCGCCATGTGGATCAGACCTTTAGGTCAAAGACTCCGAGTGTGGCCTCCGAAGAAAACCACCTGCTTCGGTTTGGGCAGCTGGGCAGTATCACAGTTCTTACACAAATCAAATGGCATTTGTGAAGCGCATATATATTTGGTGCTCTTTTGTACCAATATTTATAGGTTTAAGTAAAATAAAATAGACCTGTAACTCTTCCTAAAACAATTAAATACTCTATGAGGAAGAGCTTGTATTAATTTGAATTATATAATAAACTGGCAGGCCCAGCTACAACGCAACCTAATCAAGAAGTATTAGATGAGCACAAACGAATGTACTGTATTCGGAATTCAAAATCAAAAGTCAACCTGACTAATTCCTGTGATCATATTCTTGATGAAGTTACGGTGGCCAAATGCATCAATAACTGTGACCCTGTACTTACTGGTTTTCAACTTTCACAGTGCAATATCGATTGTGATACCACATTCGCGTTCAGCCTTTAATTTATCCAATACCCAAGCATACTTAATAGAACCTTTACCCATCTCAGAGCTCCGCAGATAATACCTGATAAACGCCATATCTCACCTGACTTCTGACGTAATTGAGACCATCTCAATTATAGTAAGCGGAAAAAACTATATATATATATATATATATATATATATATATATATATATATATATATATATATATGCGGCTTTTACTACAGGTGACTGATTCGAAACAACCTACTGGCCTGTAGTATATAGTTTAGTATTCACAAAAACTCAAAGGACTTTATCATTCGTAAAATTCCCAAACAATTCATGACGTAACTGTTCAAAATGAAAATCAGTATGCTAAAAAGATGTCTCAGAAACCCACAAATCTACATGGTAACCTACATTTCTCACTTGACGCAACTCTCCATCCACAGCATCTGATAGGCGTGCGCACAAATCTTTTTTTACTCCTGAGCGACTAAGACCCCTAATCTCCAGTTGGTTTCGGAGATCAGCAACCTTTAGATCCCCAATTCTCCGGCCATCCGGTAACAGAACACTCTCCGGAGTAGACATCACGCGCCAAACGTCAAAAGTGACGCACTTAAAAACAATGGGCAACACATAAGATCCAAGATCCAATAAAGTAACGAAAAGTTAATTTACACTACTGTGGATAAAATCTCAGAATGTGAATGTTTTATACGTTAGACTTTCATCATAGACAGCATATCTTTCATTGTTTCTGAGGATCTGATTAAGTAAGAAGTATGCTAGTCAAAGTAAAACTAAATGCTTCAAATAATTCAAACAGTAGGGGATGGAATAGAAGAAGCTTTTGCTTAACGGGCTTCCATGTCTAGAAGCAGTGGATCACCAATACCTCCGAGCAGGAACCACGCAACAAACCACAAGAGTAAAACCGTGACTGTCAAAACTAAAACTCTGTATTGTTCGTCTTCCAATGCGGATCGTTTAATTATATCATGGAGCTCCAACTTTCTAACTTCAAGGGGACGCCCAACATCTCAGGTAGCAGAAAACCACCCTGTTTATAAAGAGCCGCTAGAATGGTCGAACAAACCAAAATCATTCAAATGATTGTGGAAGGAGTAGACGAAATTTATGATCAAAAAGCTTCTTGTATCGGTAAATAAATCCCCCAAATCAATAGCTCTGTAAGTGTTCGACATTGGATTATGATCACACTAGTTTTAATGGACTCACGAAGCTGAAGGCGCACGGTCATGCATCCGCACCAGATCACGAGTGAGAACGCCGTGCTCAACTTCACCTGCTATCACTAGCCAGATTAGATCAGTCACTTCTCGATATATTGATAATCTATCAAATATATTTTCCAACCACCTCGCTTCTAAATTTAGATTTCACTGGGTGGGCACGATTCAATGATAAAATGAGTTGCTGGTAAAGTGTTATCGTACTACAATACCTGTGGTATGTTCATTGGTGTGCCCTACTTGATCTGATACACCAACCTATAAACTGTGAGTCTGTTCCTTTTTGGAATTTTTATTACTTTTTTTATTATTAATGGCTTTATAAAATATTATAATCTGGTACAATATAGAATTCTCAGAACGAGCTATTGCTTTATTTTAACTTTTATACATTGTGATATTTTTTGTATTTTCGGATATTTTTCCTCGTTTATTCTTGTGCTTGATAGTTTATTATGACGGAGCAGACACCCAAGGGACCCATGATCTAAAGACTATTTCCCTACCTTCGTTTCAACTAATGCCCTTCTGGCCAGACAACATCGAAGCCTGTTTCTGCTACGTAGAAGCCGACTTCTACGGATACGACATGACTGGTTCACGCGCACAATTCTTCGAAGTAGTTAAGGCACTACCCCACAAATTTAACAAGTACGTCACACCTAGTAGGTTTACTAGTGATGTTTCTGAGCCTTAGGAAACTGTAAAACGGTCCATTCTGAAACGCGGAGATCTAATCAATCGACGAAGGTTAGATCAACTCCTTAATAATATCGATCTTCAACATGGTTCTGAGACAGACATGTTGCTACGAATGAATCAGGTAATTGGCCAGAGAACTTTCGATCATGGACTGCTTAGACAACTTTTCTTGTTCAAACTTCCCCAACAAGTGCAAGCAGTACTCGTTTCAAAACAACGCCATAGACGAGCTCGCCGCATCCTAGAAATCACGAAATCTTCTAATATCAAGGTTTTTCAGTCAAAGAAAAATCTCAAACGACCCAGAATGACATTACAGAATTATGTCATACACTTACATGTTATCTTATACTTCGTGATGACCGTTAACGGTCACATACTCCGCAAAAGAAGCACTTCACGTAAGCGATCTATCTCCAGACGACGAGAGACAGATAACCAAGTCTGGTGCTAGTATCATAACCAGTAAGGAAAGTCTTTCAGAAATCGCAGAAAATTTTGCACTTACCCGAACTCCAAGTCGACCGACACGAAAATCCATTCGAGAAACTTCCCGGCCGGCACACGTTGACGGCAACCGTAGCCGTCTGCTATACGTCACATATGTGGTGACGAAAGTCTACTGCCTCGTCGACACTGACACAGAAGTTGGCGTCCCTCTCGCAAATTCTAACTAGCCCCGAAAAACTTATATTGGCTGAAAACGAATCCTGCCACATGATAGAGTTAGGAATCATTCGATCGTCAAATAGTCCATTGGCATCTCCTTTGCACATGGTCCCTTAAAACAACAACAACAATTGCCATCCAAATGGTAACTATAGGCGCCTGAATGCAAAAACCATCCGTGATCGTAACCCGTTACTTCACATTCACGATTTGACAGTTACCTTGAAAGGTACAACTACCTTTTATGAAGTCGACTTGGTTAAGTCCTATAACCAAATCCCTATGGCTACTGACGGTATTCCAAAAACCGCCATAATAACTTCCTTCAGACTTTACGATTTTTCGAGAATGCCTTTAGGCTTAAGAAATGCTGCCCAAACCTTTCAAAGCTTCATAGATGACGGTTTTCGTGGTCTCAACTTCGTACATGTGTATGTTGACTGCTTGATAGAGACATTGTGTTGACTGGCAATATGCACTGGAAAGATTTAAGATTAATAAGGTGCAGGTTTCTTAACTGCTAACTTTCAATTGCCGATCATTGACTGGTATGGTGGATTTTCCTCAACTCCTAATTCTAAACGTGTACTGTATTTGTGATGTAATAACAATACAGAAATCCTGGTTGAATGATTTACGAGATGGTTGCTTAGTATCACTAAGTGATTTCAGCATTTATCGTCAGAATCGATCAAGCAATGAACTGATGTCGATCTGATACTATGCCTTTAAGCTTTCAAAGGACTTTATCTACTGTTTAACCTCAAGATGTGATCCAAACCACTTGAATATATACAATTATGTTTATGTAACCAACATTTACGTGATTCCGGACTGCACATAGTTTGCACTATCTGCTCTCATTGATGAATTCTCTGTTGCGTCCTTCAGTGGTTCGTTTCTAATAGTATGAGGTGATTTAAATTCATGTTTTGTAGCTTTTCCTCATTTTCAGGTCACAAAAATGTAGTAGATTTTCCCGCTGCATTGAATGCCTATTGAGATTCAGTTTTCATAAGTGATTTGGGAAAATATAACCGACACTTGCCCAGTTAATAGAGATTTCACTGATCAGTACTTCCTTACATTATAACTGAGCACTTTTTATTCGTAATACGTTATATACTAATAGTCTTTGATCCTTGTATTAGCCCGGTTAATACGTAGAAATAATTATATACTCATATATATCTGTTAGACAGGTTTTTAACTCATACAGCTTCAAAATATGTCAAGTAACTCGGGTAAAAGAGAGATTTCACCAGCTTTCAAGCCTACTAAAATGTCAAAGTTCGTAACTTCTAAGACTGATGACTCAGTACCTGAAAATGATAAGCATTTATCCTTTGAACCCCATGCTACCCACCCACAAATATCACTAACACTACCTGATTCTCCAAGTAACAACCCCTCTATCTCTTCATGCAGTATGCCAACAGTAAGACTAGTTAACATAAAAGGCGAAATGCCCACGTGCATCAAAAAGTCAACACAGTCCACCAGACCGCATGCTTCACTTAGGCCTAGGTCCATTATACCAAAACCCAAGGAGTCTAACAGTGTATCTCACGTATACGAGAATGCTGATCGATATAGTACTGACATTCGTCAGTTATAAAACTCCCTAGCCGAAATTTACAGTAGACTTAACCAACTAGCACACATATGGGGTATTATTACCGATAAAAATCTCGAACAACTCACTAAAGCTGAGTGTATTTTAGAGTTTGTGGCTGAAGAAGTTACGAAAAGAATGACGTCTTCCCACAGTGCATTAGTTTACAATCTTCCTGATCGCATACACCCAAATAAGTTGAGAGACATCTGCCTTAAAGCATGCGATATGCTGAAAGTCAACTGCCAAGTCATCCGCCTTAGAAAAAAGTCGGATTGATTGACTTGCCCTCTACTATTTCAGTTTGACTGCTGTAACGATGCTAAGCAATTTATTGATTTGAGCAAAAATATCAGCTCATTAATTCCAAACAAAAGCATAAAAGTCACTCCTGATATAACACCGTGTCAACGTCGTATAAGAAGACGTGAAGCAATGGAATCGTATGATAGAGTGATAGTAAAAAACCATCTAAAGACAGTATGCAACAAAATGAATGGTATAAAGCGCATGGACAACAATCATTATTATTATTATTATTAATGGCTTTATTCAATATTATAATCTGGTACAATATAGAATTCTCAGCACGAGTTATTTCAACAAGTTTTTTACCAAAAAAGGAAACCCGAAAAAACAAACAAAACAAAACAAAAAAAAACAAAAAAAAACAAAAAAAAAACAAAAAAAAAAAAAAAAGGTCTAGGAAAAACCGACTTTATACAAATTATCGAATTTGAGACATGCTTAAGAAGACAGGTTATTTACTAGGTCAACTCTAACAGCCTGTTCGTCACAAAGTAAATTTGCTAAGTAAGGTATTACAGAACTTTTATAGATTTGCTTGCGTGCATGGATTTTAATGTATTTACGTCTCGTTCTACCAGAAGATATACAAGGAGAAAGATATGAATGAAGCGGATGGTTAGTATCTGATAAGATAACACCTGCCAAGAGTTTGCAACACTTAAGATGTCTATCCACAAGCATATTAACAATGACTTCAAAAGATTCACCACATACCTTGCAAACCGCCTTCAGCATTCTACGCAAAATAGCAAAGTCTTTTCTCAAAAGCCCAGGAAAGAATAATGGAGAACAATATAAAATAATAGGTAATATGCAGGAATTTACAAATTGTAAGAGTAAATGGCGAGTAATCCCAAAAGCATGCAGCCTCTTTATCATATTGTTATACCACAAACGACTGGTCCATCTGTAGATCTAGATGAGTCTGCAGATCAGAAATCTTTAGATAAGATACGGTCCCCATCTGTCACTAAAATGCGTGACGGCATCTCTGATCCCGGGTGTTCGCTCAGCATAATATCAAAATGTGGGCCGTGTAACGAAACACACCCAACTAAACATATTCATGTAAAAATTGGTCCCTCAAGAGATACTCTACAAGAGGATTCGAATGAACCTAAGTTCATCTCACAGAGACAAAGAAACCCTTCATATCTGACAAAAAAGACTGGGGAGATAAAATCCAAAGTAGGGGAACACGTAAGATTGAGGCCAACTGTTCTGTG